ATTCCTTCATAAACTACCTCCTGTACCCACGGATCGCCGACGAGAAGGGCACCAGTCTTACTGTGCCAATGTGCTGGACAATTTTGGATTAATTGCAGACTAGAAAGTGAGGGAAGCAGACGAATTCTTAACGTTTCGCAGAGGTATTTAGATTTCAAGTCCATGAAAGCAGCATATGGCGCCAAACACAGAGGTCCTTGTGGAACAATCACAACTTCATCGCCATGGAGTAAGTCTCTTATAGGGTCTATAACAACACTATAAAATGTTTGTAATGACTTTGTCTCAAAACATGAGGAAAGAGACCTTGGCTTACTGGATCTTTCTTCCGCTAACTTTGTATCGCTTGGGTTTTTTAATGAGCGATCTTCACAATTAACATCAGCTCTCACACCTATTTCTTTACGTGTAGTTTCCAAAAGAGACTCAAAATAGGTTGTGACGGAGACATCGATCTTGCTTCTTCTAGTTTTTATTTCTTTTCCTTTCTCGTTCACCCAGAGAACTATTCCTCCCTCGCTGATACCTATGAATGCTGTATTTGGTGGTAAGTAACTAGCAAAGTCACTTGGTCTTGCATAACGTGATTTTATTTCTTGGCGTAGCCCTTTAAGGCCATACTTGAACTCCAGGAGATCATTTAAAGCCTCTGCACGTCCTCGATCAGCAGTTAAAAGTGCCCCGATGACCTTACCATCCGTAAGCTGCAGCTCCCATAACCTCGAATTAATATCATTATACGTATTCCCAAGGCTAATTTTCAATTCGTCATTAGATATGAGATTTTCCCTGATGTCGTCAAAGGCTCTAACACCGTTCTTATAATGCTGGAAGGCTTTCCCGAAATCTCCAAGACTGTGATAGGCGTTACCAAGATTACAGTACGCTCTTCCTTTTCCTGCCCTGTCCCCAACTTGCTTTGAAATCTTGAGGTGTCGTTCATGGTACTCTATGGCTTTCTGAACATCTCCAAGACTGTAATAGGCGTTGCCAAGACTTCCGTACACTCCTCCTTCTCCTGCCCTGTCTCCCACTCCTTTCGAAATTTTGAGGTGTCTTTCATGGTACTTTTTAGCTTTCTGCAAGTCTCCAAGACTGTTAAAGGAGTTGCCAAGATTACCGTACGCTCTTCCCTCTCCTGTCCTGTCTCCCACTTGTTTCGAAATTTTGAGTGCTCGTTCATGGTACTCTGTAGCTTTCTGGAAATCTCCAAGACTGTGATAGGCGTTGCCAAAATTACCATACGCTCTTCCTTCTCCTGCCTTGTCTCCCACTTCTTTCGAAATGTTGAGGTGTCGTTCATGGTACTCTATGGCTTTCTGGAAATCTCCAAGACTGTGATAGGTATTGCCAAGATTACCGTACGCTTTTCCTTCTCCTGCCCTATCTCCCATTTCTTTCGAAATTTTGAGTACTCGTTCATGGTACTCTATAGCTTTCTGAAAATCTCCAAGACTGTCATAGGCGTTGCCAAGATTACCGTACGCTCTTCCTTCTCCTGCCCTGTCGCCCACGTCTTTCAAAATTTTGAGGTCTCGTTCATGGTACTTTATAGCTTTCTGAAAATCTCCAAGACTGTAATAGACGTTGCCAAGATTACCGTACGCTCTTCCTTTTTCTGCCCTGTCTCCTGTTTCCCTGCATATTTTGAGGTGTCGTTCGTGGTACTCTATGGCTTTCTGTAATTCTCCAAGACTGTGATAGGCGTTGCCAAGATTACCGTACGCTCTTCCTTCTCCTGCCCTGTCTTCCTCTTCTTTCGAAATTTTGAGGCGTCGTTGCTGGTACTCTATCGCTTTCTGGAAATCTCCAAGACTGTAATAGGAATTGCCGAGATTACCGTACGCTCCTCCTTCTCCTTCCCTGTCTCCCATTTCTTTCGAAATTTCGAGTGCTCTTTCATGGTACTCTATAGCTTTCTGGAAATCTCCAAGACTGTAGTAGGCGTTGCCAAGATTACCGTACGCTTTTCTTTCTCCTGCCCTGTATCCCAGTTCTTTCGAAGTTTTGAGGTCTCGATTGTGGTTTTCTATAGCTTTCTCGAAATCTCCAAGACCGTGGTAAGCGTTTGCCCTGCCTCCTTCTTCTCTGGCAATTTTGCGGTACATTTCAAGGTAGTGTGCGGCGTTCTTGAAATCTTTAATGTTGTCACAGGAGTCTGCCACTTCCTGTCTTTTCTCCGCCATTTAAACAATAATGTGCAGACTTGATAGTTGGGTCAGGTTTAAAAAATTGTTTTATTTCTCAGACACTTTTTTTGTTAGCTTGGGTATTTCAGCTCTCCCTGAAAAAAAGTGTTTAATATTTTGTGGTTTCATTTCATGGTTTATGCCAGTTTTTGCAGAAAGTTATAGTAACGTATGATGAAGTGAAATAAAATATAAATTGAGAATATCTAAATCTTATATTAGAGTGATGTTACTTGAGCCGTACGCCGGTGAAACAGATAATAACTGCTTGCGCAAAATAGCTACAAGTAAAAAGAAGACGATAGAATTAGTGCATAATAGCGCGTAGTATTCCACTACCTTTTTCACGGCATAGGCTAAAACCAAGACTGGACCATGGACTCTGGACTGGACTCTGGACTCTGGACTCTGTGTGCAGAATTACGTAGATCGAGGAGGGTGTTATCAGCCGAGGTGGATAACATTCTCCGAGATCTGTACAATTCTTAGCATCCTATGAAAGCCTAATTCAATAATTGTTTTACTTTCATTCAAAAGTTTTCTAAGTTCTGAACGAGATTACCTCCTCGTAGACTTTCAAACCTCTGGCCTTTTTGATTTTCCAGTTGGAGTGACACCTCAGGTAAGCCCTGAGTTGCAGGTCGATTACCCTGCGATTACCGCTGCCCGTAATTCATTTGTGCTATTATATATTACGTCAAAATTAGTCGAAAATATGTACTAAGGCCTCGTCCACACGTATCCGTATTCGTTTGAAAACGCAACATTTTTTCGCCGTATTAAAAAAAATTCGCGTGCGCTCGTAGCGTTTTCGCATCGCTTTCGCCCTTCCATACGTATACGATGAATCGATTTGAAAACGATAACTTACCCGACTGCGCCGTATGTGTTCGCTATTAGCTGCTATTATGAGCCCGCGAAATAATAAATTGGCCGGCCATCTTTGAATTTCTTTGGTGTGGGTTTATATTGTTGTGACGTTTTTCAAAGTCGCAGAAACAGATTAAAATGTCAGAATCAGGGCAAAAACAAAGTCAAACTGAAGGGAGATCCAACCTTCTGCCTCTTGACACCGGTAACGAAAGTAACCTGACAATCGTTCTGCCGCCTCCTGGAATAATCAGCTTGAAGAATTAACAAAGCTAAATTTGCTTGAAAACAAGTAATTGTGTTAGAAATAAGCCCGCAAAGTATAAAAGACAAGAAACGGGGAAGCGCCAGTCCGCTATCTTGAATAAGTTTCTAATATTGCGCGGAGTGGAGTGGAACTGATAGTCTGTCCTCAGCGTTTCGAAAAGTTCCGTTTTCGTCTGTACACACCACATACACGCGAAAACAGCGTTTTTAAAAAGTTCCACTCTGGAGAGCGTTTTAAAAAAGTGTGGACGGAAGCCGTACCCGTAAAGAAAAAATTGCGTTTTCAAATGAAAACGGATACGTGTGGACAGGGCCTAAGTCTACTTGTTATAATGCTAAGTCTACTTATTATTACCCTAGGGCGGTACTCATAAGAATTCTTGTTAGAGGTGTGCCGCCCGGTTCTCTAATCCTGACCCTATTTCACACCAAAAATGTCATTTTTCACACCCGTTTCCAGACCTGGGGCCCGTTTCTCGAAAGGTCCAAGACAAATTCTAAAACTGCAAAAACCTGTTGAATAATAGCACAGTTCCTGGCGCACAAACCAGTCAATTTTGCTTCGTTAGCTGATAGTTTCATTGTATGATTTTCAAAATTATTGAAACTTTGATCTCGAATGGAAACGCAGCAAAAATAAACAGCTTTTCGAAAAAAAAGGTTTCTTAAAATCCATTTCGAATTTGCATATTCTCTTTCTTTCTTACTCATTTGGAACTNATTTCACACCAAAAATGTCATTTTTCACACCCGTTTCCAGACCTGGGGCCCGTTTCTCGAAACGCCCAAGACAAATTCTAAAACTGCAAAAACCTGTTGAATAATAGCACAGTTCCTGGCGCACAAACCAGTCAATTTTGCTTCGTTAGCATCATTCGTTCATTCGTTTGTATCATTTTCAAAATTATTGAAACTTTGATCTCGAATGGAAACGCAGCAAAAATAAACAGCTTTTCGAAAAAAAAGGTTTCTTAAAATCCATTTCGAATTTGCATATTCTCTTTCTTTCTTACTCATTTGGAACTGAAAAGATAAATACGTTCATACGCTTCCGTAGTTCCCTAGGAAACCATACCCGATTCCAGACCAAAGTGGGCAAAATGTATACTCGTTTTCAGACCAAAACGGCGTAAAAACCCCACCCTTTGGATATCTATATAGTTTATATAAGGAAGTACCTCCCCGCGACAATTTCACACAAGTAGTTAATATGAATAGTCTAACATGCGCATGAAAAATAAACGTATGAGGCTAAACCGCAAAAATTTGGTTCCATGAACCGTGTGCGATCGAGAACGATTGCTAAAAAAGTCCTGCCGTCTGAGCAATAGTGGCGTTTGTAGTCCGCCAACGCATACTACACGAGTTCTAGAGTAAATGCAGTTAATTTTAATTTGCTACTACATGTTATACCTACCTTATTTGAACGGTGATCTTGATACATGCAATTCGCAACAATTTCCCGAATGATTAGCTTGATTTCACACGACGATAAGGTCTACAAGGAAACCACATTTAAGACAAGTTTTACACGTCGTTTTTCCTTCAAAAAATAAACTGGACGTCCACAAAACTAACCTTAAAAAGCTTCGACAATCATCCACTTTGCAAAAGAGAAAGATGAACTAGCTTGCGTGGTAGACGATAGGGTTTTTTTCCGCCCTTCTTTTGTTTTATAACTTTGATCAAATTACGTCAGCAAAAAGTGACCCGAGTCTTTTCCAAAGCAGCCATCTGGAAAAATTAACAACCCACAGGGGAAATTAAACTATGAGTGTCACATTAAGGACCCAAAAACACAATAATTATAAACTAGTAATAGCTGACTCTACAGCTGCCCCCACTCTGTATATTGTCGGTCAATAGTATTCTTGCTCGTTGATTAGCTCTTTAAAATATACCCGTCCAATTCATGATGAAGATTTTCACACATATTCCATACAAAAGGTGAGATAAAACTGAACAGGAAACGCAAGTTTCCATGCACGGTTTCTGTTCTATCTACACAGCTTTGATCAAAACATTCTCAGTTTCGAGAATAGTTTATTCTAAACCATAAGAAAAGATTTAATTAGAAGTTGAATTTTTCGCTATTTCTCTTTCACTTTTTACATTCAGTTTATTTTATTGGCCAGAAAGTAAGCCTTAGAAATGAAATGGACGTTCGATCAATTCACGCTTGCGCATTCTAGTCTCATTTTAAACTTTATAGCGGAAGGCCACCTGTGAGCAGGGAATAATTTTGCCTGCGTGCAGACACAGGAAATAGGAGACGTCTGCACGCAGGCAAGGAATAATTAAGTCAGCACAGAATGTGATTGTCGGCGAATTTTAAGCGTCCATCGTTCTGCTAGTGATAAGCTAGCGTTGTTCACTCGTCTTGCTTGTTTGGGGCTGAGTCTTATTTCGGTCAAAGAGAGAGAAAGAGTGCCTGGCAAGGTTTCCAATACGTTCCAATCAAAGATTTGTGAACTCGTGTCTGGCAAACTCTCCAAGTGTTTATATATATACACACAGTTATACGCACCCAAGGGTGGCGTAGTGGTGAGAGCGCTCGCATCCCACCAATGTGGCCCGGGTTTTCAACTCCCGGCGTTGACGCCATATGTGGGTTGAGTTTGTTGTTGGTTCTCTCCCTTGCTCCGAGAGGTTTTTCTCCGGGTACTCCGGTTTTCCCCTCTCCTCAAAAACTAACACTTCCAAATTCCAATTCGATCTGGAACGCACGGACATGTTTAAACGAGTTCATATGAACTTCTAATAGACTACGAGTAGTCCCCCATTTTTCCTCAGGGATAGTAGAGCGAGCGAAACGCGAGCGCGCGTGAAAATCACCCCACACAAGAAAAGGCGACACGCGGCAGGGACAGAGGATATTACACGGTGGCACGAAGATATGAATTTTATTTTCGAGTGGCAAAAGAATATTTTACCAACGAGCGCAGCGAGTGAGTAAAATATTGTTTTTGCCACGAGAAAATGAAATTCATGTCTTCAAGCCGCCGTGTAATTTTCTTTTTATTATGTAGATAGACAAAAAGACATCGATAAAATAATAGAGGGAAACAGGAGCTCATCAAATTCCATTTGATGGGCTCCTGAGGGAAATTACCGAAATTACGTTATCGATTATCGGTTATCAATAAACTCACGTGTGAGATTATGGAAAATAAACCACTCGGGTCCCGGATGTAGTTTTTATGAAAATACGAGTGGTATATTTTCCAGTAAAACACTCGTGTCTGTATAATGAAAACTTTTATTATATAGACACGAGTGTTTTACTGGAAAAGATACCACTCGTAAAATTCATAAAAACTTCATCCGGGACCCGAGTGGTTTATTTTCCATAATCTCACACGTGAGTTTATCAATGACGTAATTTCGGTAATTTCCCTTCGAAACGTCTTGCCTCTTTTAAGTTAATTTACTTACATATTTTTCAAAGCTTTTCTTTTATTTTGTCATTGCAGAGCCCTATTCAGCTCAGTGTTGTTTCTCAATATTATTGTAACCAATGTCCCATCTTGCTGTACTGTAAATTTGAGCCGTCACATTTACCTTTTGGCGAATAAAAATCTATTATCTTGTCGATGTCGTTTTGTCTATATAATAAAAGGAACATTACACGGCGGCTTGAAGATATGAATTTTATTTTCGAGTGGCAAAACAATATTTTACGAACGAGCGCAGCGAGTGAGTAAAATATTGTTTTTGCCACGAGAAAATAAAATTCATATCTTCGCTCCACCGAGTAATATCCTCTATATATTCCCGACTGTAAAATCAGCCTTACTTCTTTTGTTTTATATACCGTAAATGATCCAATGGACGCCCGCAATGCGTTTATTTAATTTTGAGGGTTCAAGAAAGCGGGGAGCTCATAGATGGGAAGTAGTTAAAAGAGAAGGGCGTCTATTCTTACAAGTGTAACCAGCTCAGCAAAACTAATATACTTTTGTCGAAAATATCAAGAGCGTTTAAAAATAACGGAGTATCCAGTCCATATCTTTGATACCTCTATGGCAACTGTTTCAAGTCTCAACATCGGTGTCAGAATCCTCGCCCAAGATCATATTAGTCTAACCCATATTACTTAGCAAGAAATTGAGTAATTTTTAATGATTTTGGGCCTTTTTACCAATCCTAGTCATGATTTTGGAGTAGTTCTCAGGAAGGGGGAGGGGGGGGGGGGGTCGAGAGGGAAGGTGAAGGAGATTTCGCGCCCAAATTTCGTTCTCCTTACCTTTGGAAAGTTTGCCACGCAGGCTAGCAGGTAACTGGGAAAATAGTGGTGTGATTATGAAGGAAACTCCCAACTATTTGCAGCCATAAATGAAATGTAGAAAGCTAAACCACTGAAACAACAAATTTATGCTAGCAGTTTTGTATTTTCAAAAGAGCCTGGCCTTCCGAAGTATTATTGGTAACAAAAATATATTTCCCCGACTGTAAAATCACGCTTCTTTTGCTCGATATTTTAATTTATAGCTTATTAGATCCTTTATATAATAGGATCCGATCCTCCTGCTGCAACGTTGGTCCTTGCTTCCAAAATTGAATTTATGCTTCAAGAAGGGCTTCTTTTCGAAAAGGAGGAGAAGGTTTGGGGGTCGGTTATGTTCGTAATGACGGAAATTATGGTAGCGCCTGCCCGCTGATCCTCCTCCATTAGCCTCAGTATCAGGCGTTTCTGGGGAAAAGGGGAAAGATGGATATAAAATCTTCTCTCCCCTAGCCCCTTAGGAAGGCCTGATACTCAGGCTACTCCTCCATCAACCTCTAACCAGTCTTCCAGGGGGTGGTGGAGCGGCGTTCTGTACCTCGGCGTCAAAGCGAGGCGGAATTTTTTGAGCAGGCGCTCTAGAACCGTAGTTGCTTCCTTGCTCAGTTGATCCCTTTAGAAGAAGGAGTTTAAACATCCCGGCTTCGGTTTTCTTCTGTCAAAGGCCTTGATAATGGATGAGGAATATGACTGTATCGTTCTGGGAACAGGGCTAAAGGTTAGCTTCTTTATTGAAGTCTGAAAAAATCCCGGTTATTGGTGGTTCTATCAATATGAGTTAGATCGAGTAGTAATTCACACACCCTTTCATTTAAACGACATTTACATGGGCATGACCCTCGTGATTTTTGAATTCAAAATTAAACTTTATTAACTTAACAGTAATCTGTGCTGAAACGAGTACTTGTAGAGTTTACACCCGAGTCAGTTTATTAGATTTCCCCAGGTTTTAAGAGCAACATTTTAGTGTTCTTACAAATGATTATAATATGGGGACTGTGTCTTTTAAAAAAAGCCAGACATCCCATGTTTCTTTTGCTTAATACTTTGCCTACATTCATGCAACTCTCGAATCGAAAGCAACTTGTACTTAAGCGATACACTTTCAGTATTTCGAAACTGTTATTAAAGCTCAATTTCCGTGCAATGTTCATAAGTAAACGCAAAGATTTGTGGTTGATTGGACAGTAAAATGCAATTTTCCTACTTTCCATTTCCATTCAAGTGGATAAACCGAAACCTACAATGCTCAGTACTGTACACATGTGGGCCTGTGTAAAGTTGCTTCTATATTTAAAGGTTTTTTCCATTCTGATCTAAATTCTTGGTGAGGAGGGCAATATGTTGATTGTGATTCTAGTAATAAATATCATACTCTATATGAAAGTACATGTACTGGCTTTTGTTTCACAACGCCTCAAAACAATTTTATATTTCAATTTTATAAATCAATGGGAAAAGACCAGGATCTGTAATTTACAGCATGGACTGAGAAAGCAAGGCTAGTAAGATGTTTATTACAGTATATTGCTTTCTGTTTTGGGGAACCAAAAACAAGTGCAGGACAAGTCAATTAATGGTCATTTGACAGGCGTCAGAAAAAAAAAAGATTTAATTGGCTCACAAAGACAATAGCACTTGACAAAAACTTTCCATTGAAAGTGAAATCATAATACAAATGCGCCAAGTCAAAAGTTTCTTTGGCAGTCAAAACTAAGAACACTGTAAAGTTTTAGTTCGCTTGGTTCTTTTAAAAACTGGATACTGTTTCTGGATCGAAATCTCTTCCATCTTTCTTTTGTTGGTCCTTGAAAAAACACTGCATGTCACAGAAGCCTGTCAAGATGATCTGGTGCAGGCATGTTTGTTAATTTCGTTGTCAAAGGAACTTCTTGTGTTTCTTCCGCGTAATGTCTCGATCTCTGCCACTTCATTCTCATCTTGTTAACTGTGACCTACACAGTGTACGATAAAATTTTCAATCATGGACTAGAATCTTCTTCTTAACTAAGATTACAATTCAGCTTCTTTATCAGCTTCATTCTCAAATAAACACAGGTTAAAATTTGGAAGGAGGAAGTCAACATCCAAGTCCTTAGGGTTCACAGACATATGACGATGCTGGAAATGATTTTTCTTGCTTGAAAGGACATGTGTCCTTTCAAACCTTTACTTTGAAAGGACATATTCGAAAATTGGTCGGTCCTTAATTAGCATACCGTATTTACTCTAATAAGCACCGAGTCACTTATTAAATTTTTCACGCCTCAAATGCGGCGCTTATTTGAGGGTGGCATCTATTTGAAAGTTGGATACAACAAAGAATATTGTTTAGCCATGATACTGTTATTTGTGGTATTAAACTAACAGAATTAACATCTTTTGATTTTGATTATAACGGGGCCGTGGCACCGAGAGCCATGGCTCTTGGTGGCACTTATCACTTTTTTGTCCCAAATGCGGCACTTATTCAAGGTCGGTGCTAATTCGAGTAAATACAGTCTTGCTTTCAACCTTGTTTGCCCCACGATCAAATCTCTTGATAGTACATGGCAAGAAAACCTTAAACCCAAGCAATGATTTTGGGTAACCCCTTTCATGAACATGTTCTTCACATTGGCAACTGTCATTCTTGTAAAAGAAATAACCTTTCCTCCGAATTTCTCATGATTCTAGACATAATTCGCATAGATCTCAAGCTTTGAAAAAGAAGTGAAATAGTCTAAATAGACCAGTTGAATGGGAATGATTGCTTCCCATCATCTGGCAAGTTCATTAAATTTTGCTTGAATATGATTTTTATTCAGAAGGAAGCGGGCGTAATTAAGGGAAATGAAATGTTGGTTTAGAACATTTCTTCATGCTTATTTGTATTTGTTACAGTACGTTGTTGAACGTGCTCATTAACAAATTCACCATTGGTTATTCTGGAGAAAAAGTGCCCAGGACACTAGTAGTTTTGAAAATGGCAATTCAGTTCAGAGAAAAAAAAAATAGCGTACACGATCTTTAAATGAAAATTTATGTGTAGTACTGACAAACCTCATGTAATTAAAAATACATCATTACAAAGGAACCAAAGCAGTGATATTTATTTCATTGAAAGTATTCCCAAAACCACCAATAATGCTGCACATGTCTTATAACGTGAATTTGCATCCCTGTAGTATTGAGTTAAAAGAATATCTTGTTTTTTTATGGTTCACAGCCAACTTCAAGGGTAGGCAGTCATCGTTTGCACTGGTTTGAAGATATTTTATTTCATCTCTCCCAATTCATAACTAAATTTACTTTTGAACAATGCCTTTCCTTCTGGTTGTTGTTCAAACTGGCAAAGAAATCGCATGGAAAGTTTTCTTGTTCATCTTACAAAACTTTCTTCATGTTTCATATCATTGAAACAAGCAGCCATTAGTTTCAAAGCATGTGCTTCCAGTTGCATGAATTAGATTTCTATATATGGAAAGTAGATCCCAGTAATTCCTTAACAAAGAGAACTGACTTCATTTCGCCAGATAGGAAGACGAATAGGTCGAATAGGAAGTCTTTCACTGGAATGCAAAGTTTGTCTTTTTATAATGGCGTTTTACCTTTTAATATTTTCGAAATCAACTCAGGGATGTTAACAAGCTTCTAAGACAAGAGCTAAGTCAATTAAGTGCTCGGACATTATGTCGGAACATATTGCAATGTCGGACAATGTCTGATGTCCAACAGTAATTTCCAGCGTTGTATGATAACTTTGTTTAAATCATTTTCAGAGTTAAAAACTAAGATTATTATATAAACACCAATGAAATACCAGGTGAGCTTTTGCATGAAAACTTGATATCTTCACATGTGAAAATAACATGTTATCTTCACATGTGAAAATAATTTATCACCATTGCTATGGCTACCTAATAAATTGTGCCTTTCACACCAAAAAACTATTTAAGTGAAATGGTTTGGTATTTCATTGGTGTTTATATAATAAATAGAACATTACATGTACATGGCTGCTTGGAGATACAAAATTTCTCTGCGCAGCGAATGAGTGAAATTTTTTTTCTACATGAGAAGAGAAATTTCGTATCTCCATGCAGCTATGTAATATCCTCTATGTATTTTTCTGCCATCTTGTTTGGAAACATCTTGGAATATTGACTTGTTTCAAATTCATTTCTCCAGAAAGAATAAAAAATATGGATACAAAAAATGTACATTTCTCTGAAATACATGTATATTATTTAGCAGTTGGTCATTCAGTGAAGATTTTATATTTGAGGCTGATGCCGACAACCTCTTCTCTTCTTTACAGTGCAAGAATTATGTAGTGAACATGTCACTTTATTTATATGTTTGTTAGTGTTCTATGTTCAATATTAAAGTGCAAACTTTTACTTTGTTTTGTTTTTTTGTTTTGTCATCCAAATTATTTTATCTTACCTTGTGTGAGCTAAACTTGTACTTTGTTTGCCTTTTTTTTTTTAGTCCTTTATGTCAATGCATTCAGTTCCAAGGTCCTGAGTTTTTCAACTCGCTAAGTCGTGAAATTCAAAACAGTGAAAGTGTTGGCTTGTTTGGAAAAGACTTAAAAAGTTCCTTTTTTCTTAGTCACATATACATTGCACTCTTTGCTGAGCTACATACTTTTTCTCTTCTTTTCTTTAATTTATTAATAAACTATTTTTCATTAAGTACCCTTAATTCACATGGTGTATCCTATATTCTTAGGAAACCTATACTTCCTCAGCCCCAGGCTTCTACACTGTACAGCTGCAGGGTGCAAAGAAAATCATTTTAACAGCTTGCCATTCAGGCAAGATGAAGCTAGCATTTACTAGCCCAGACATAATTTTAACTAGCCCCAAAAGCTTTTTGACGAGCAGAATTGATTTCACGGTTCTTCTGTCATTTGAATTCCTCAAAAAACATCACTTGCGTGGCGGGCAAGTTCAAAACAGAATTCACTAGCCCGATGGCAAAATCAACTAGCCCCAGGCCATCAGACACTACTTTCTTTGCGCGCTGAGCTGTATATACATGTAGGCTTCCTGGCCGATTTGTTAATTAGATTAGTTTCTATCCTCTTCCTTATTTAAAAATTTATTGTGTTTTTGTAAATCATAAAATACAGTTAATGGTTAATGACAAAATAACTGAATGAATGAACCTTTTTCTATTTTATATTAAACTTTCAGGAATGTGTTCTCAGTGGGCTTATGTCTGTGAACGGAAAGAAAGTTCTTCACATGGACCGACAGAAGTACTATGGTGGAGAGAGTGCATCAATTACCCCCCTGAATGATGTATGTGGATCGTTGATTTTTTTGACTAATTTTCACCTTGACAGGATGCTTTGTTTTGCCTTTTTTTGTGTCATGGAGGTTATTAGTTTTTCCCTGTTGGTTTGTTTTGGATGGCTTGATAGTGAAAAACAGTATTGTTCAGAGTAATGTTTTATCTTATGTACAGTGTAGTAGGACGTCGATCAAGGTAGTACATCACTGGATGATTGCACCAGCTAAAAACCCAGAAATTAGCTTCCTTTTTTTCAGTCAATTGACATCATTGAAATAATTTTGGTGCTTACACTGTACATGTAGTAATATCAAAAATTCTCATTTGTTGTTGTTGTTGTTTTGAATTTTAGTTCTTTACATTGTTTGGGAAGACACTAGATGATGAAAACAAGTATGGAAGGCCAAGAGACTGGAACGTTGATCTTATTCCCAAATTTTTAATGGCTGGAGGTAAGTTTATGTTTACGTACAGGGGTTTCAATAAGAATTGAAGTAGCCAGCAGATTTGAATAGATTAACGGACTGTATCAATTGTCCACATTTTCAAGGGGTGTCTCGGGGCATGCTCCCTCAAAAAAATTAATTTTTAAAATTATTGCAAAGCCCTAATAAGTGATTTCCAGCGTTTTGGGGACTAAACTGAGTATAGTAGAGTGAGTTTTCCGCTCAAGAAGATTTGGGTTTTAGTCAAATTTTGATTATTTTATTAGTCACACAATTAACTCCTGCAAGCAATGAACAAATGATAATTATACTAAGTTACGTACATTTCCGCGTGAACAAATTATAATTTTGTCCATGGCATTATTCAAACTAGTTGCTTCTTCTTTGGAGGAAAAAGGAGCCGACTTATCTGAGCAATGTAGGCAATGCATTTCGTCGGTCGTCGGTCCTTATTGAAACCCCTGTAGATAAGTCAGTAGAAGAGAGTCACACATCAGGTCAAATTTCTATAAAGCTCCACAGATGACAAAAACAGGGATTTTACAGCTTTTAAACTCATTGCTAATTTCAGTTGATGAGCTCGGGAACTGGTTCCTAATAGGTTAGCGAGGGAGGCAAAATGCGAAAAATAAGGCAAGGAGGTAACCAGGAAACCCTGGAAGTTGGAGCCACCCCTGCGAGCAGCCGCTAACTGGCACCATCACACTGAGAAAAACCTCAGTGGAAGAGATACTTACCATGTGAAGTACTTACCTGTGCACCCACACATGACAGCAGGGAGAGAGATGAGGGAGCAAGAATCTGCAAAGATTCGCCAACACAAAGCTTAAAGATGATCTGCAACGATCAGTGAGAGTAGCTTGCAAAATAATGCTAAAGGATAGCGGCCCTGAAAACCCGAAATCAGCTGCCCTGCACGTCACGCATGCTAATTCGGGGACACCGCTGGCAGCATTGGCTCGAGATTAACTTAGCCTAAATAAAAATGTAGCCACATAAAAAATCAGTAGATTTGATGCAAGCTGCCGCTAAAATACACTAGAAAATAAAGTCACAACAACTGTTTCATGTAGAAAGCACTGAGACAGTCCAGGGAATCCCAGAACTGGAGAGAGAGTTTACCAAAGGAGCTAGGGACCTTTCATACATATAATGAACGATTGCTGTTTAAAGGGTTAAGCAACAACAACAAAGTGAATTCGCGCTGTTTCAAGACACTTTTCATTGTTAAAGAAGTTGCCATTGTTCAAAATACCAACGAACCACTCACTATCTACAGTGGGTACACGTAGATAGTATGTTAGCCAATTAGATTGTAGAATCTGTGAAAGTTTGCTAGTTGGTTTCTAAGTTCAAGTTTATTCACACTATTCAAGTTGGTACAGTATACAGTGTAAGATGACTTACAGAATCAGTTGGTTAACAAGTGATGAAAAGTAAATATAAAATGCAGGTTTGTTGATATGTGCACAGTGAGCAAACTAGCCGAAGCTTTCATGTTGGTCACAGGTAAACTTTCTCTCCAGTTCTGGGATTCCCTTGACTGTTTTTCTACCGATAAAATTATTTACTGTTCTGTATGTTTTAAACAATCTTGGATCCCAGCTGTTTAGGTACACTGAATAGCAACTGTTTAAATAAATGTTTCTGTTTTTAGGGGAACTTGTAAAGCTGCTCATTATCAGTGGAGTAACAAGGTACCTGGAATTCAAACAGATTGACGGAAGCTTTGTTTACAAGAAAGGCGGTAAAATTTACAAGGTCCCTGCTGATGAGAAGGAGGCCCTGGCCACTGGTCTGATGGGTATATTTGAGAAACGTCGATTCCGAAATATGTTGATTTTTATCAATGATTTTGAGCCCGACAACCCCAAAACATTTCAAGGTAAGAATGGCCTTGTAAAAGTATTATTCTTGTCTTGTTAGAATGGCAGACAGGGTTAAGAGTACAATGTACATGTACATGTTTGTATTGGCAGCTTCCGTCAGACTGAAGCTTGATTTTTTAAACAACTGGGAAAAAGGCCTCTAAACCCATTAAACAAAGTAACTTCATTATTATTGTAAGTACAGTCTAACCTCTCCTTACGGACACCTCCTATTACGAACAGTTCGTTTGGTCCCAGAAATGCCAAAAATCGTACATTCCCTACCTCTATAATATGGACACCTCTGTAAAGCGGACACTCGGTTCTGTCCCTTTGGTGTCTGTATTAAAGAGGTTTGACTGTACAGTTGAATCTCCCATAATTGACCACATAAAATGCAAAGAGTTGGTCGCTTACAGGACATGGTCACTTACGAGAGTCAAACTGTGGGAGGTCTTTTAGGATGGGAAGTGCGGACACATCTACATGTACAGAGTACTTTCTGAAGAGAATGTATTGCATGTAATTGTTGGGTTGCAATTCAGTGCTCCAAGCTGCAACCATTTTGGTCACCATGGCGAGTAGAAAAAATTTTTGGCAACTAAAATTGCAGTGAAAGTCACCAATTTGGTGACCTGTGTTCAGCATTCATGTGCCAAGCTATTCCCAAGAAATTCCTGAGATTTTTCGAGATGCGTTTTTCTAGTAGTTAGTGTTTATGGTCTTTTTAAGTTAAGGTGAGATAGATATTTGTATTAAATATCATTTATGCTCTGTTTTCTTTATAATTTGCCTATTGTCACCCTGGTTCTCTGGGTATTAAGCCTTCAGATGTCGTGTGCACCCATTTTGATTCTTTCAAACCATCACGCAAGGTTACACAAACTGTTCCTTTTTTTCTGGCGACAGACATTTTATGTCTGGTGACAATTTTATAATTTTAGGTTGCCAAAAGGCAACTTCAAAAAAATTTGAGCTTGGAGCACTGCTGTTTCTAAAAGTTATTGTTGTACTCTGTGTAGGGTAGTACACCAACAAAAAGATCAGACCATTGTATCAGGTGGTCACTCAGAAGAGGCTAAAAACAATGGAAAATTCTAAAAGTTTGTCATCCTAAAAAAGTGGTTATGGTTTCTTTTGAGAGGTGATTGTCTACAAGAGGTTAAAACTAAAAGGCTTTGACTAAGAAACGTTTGGCATTTTGGATAAGGGGTCGCTTATGGGAGGTGATCACCTCATGACAGGTGGTCGCACATGGAGGTTCGACCGTAGCTAATGCTAATGTTGCAGTTTATTAACAATAATATTATTGGAGGAAGTAGAGCAAAATATCATGATTAATTGTCGTGAGCAGATCATATATTTGCCAAAGCTGAAGGCTGAGGCAAAGAATTAATCTGCGAGACACTGACACATCATGATATTTATTTTTGTGTTTGCCATTTTTACGCAAGAGCGACTGCAAGATGGACAAAAGCGTGGTTTCATTTACACATGAGCAGAACATTATTTGCAGCCAAACACTTAAACCACAGTTGGACGACGTTGCGCATGAGCAGACCATTATTTGTAGGCAGTTATTTGCAGGTCACGTGGTGGGCTCTTGGCCAATGAAAAGGAAGAAAAATTTGCATCAAATTATAATTTTTATTCCAGTTAATTTTTGTTTTTCCATTGTTTTGGGGTATGGTACACTGTAATGTACACTGTATGCTTATGGTTTGATACAAAGGAAAATTAAAAATTGACTGACATAAAAATAAACTGCAACATTACTTCACAGTACATGTTATTTGATAAATAATTTTCATTGATTTGTATCTTCTGGACCATGCAGGGGTTGATCCTGAGAAGACAACAATGAGAGAAGTGTATCAGAAATTTGGTGTAGATGACAACACAGCAAGTTTCACGGGACATGCCTTGGCTCTACATCTTGATGATAAGTAAGTTATGTTTGATCAGCATCCATTGAGGTCGAATATTTTTTGGAAGTTATCCGCTGACAAGTTACTAGTTTTCAAATAATCGCAGGCTCAAGTTTAGTTTTTAAAAAGTTCATTTGAGAAATGTTGTGTTTATGTCAATATGGCCCTGCACTATTAAGATTTTGATTTCAAACTAACCTCAGACCTGAAAATTCAGCCAGTTATGTAAAAATGCAGGCAGGGAAGAACTTTTCTTACCATGGTCACGCTTTAGTCAAGCTCTACAGGTGATAGGGTGCAAAGAAAGTCAATTTTAAAGCTTGCCATTCGGGCAAGCTGTAGCTAGCATGTACTAGCCAACAAGTCATTTCAATTAGCCCCAAAACCCTTTTTGATTAGCAGAATTGATCACAATCCTTCTGTAATTTGAATTTCCCCCAAAAAACAGCACTTGCCCATCGGGCTAGTTAAGAACTAGCCCAATACCAAAATTCCCTAGCCCCGGGCTATCAGACAAAACCGTAGTAAAGTCTCGTGCTGACGGTGTTGTACACTGCTTGCGATTCTCGGCCTTTACATGAGGAGAATCAATATTATGATTCAGCAACTGTCCGTTTTTATTGAACAAAGAAACATTTCATTTCAGAATGATATTTCACTAAAAACCATGAGATTAGGAGTCGTGTTGTGAGAAGAGATAAAAAATCGTGAGATTCATGGCAGAATCATGAGCTTGGACCAGCTTGGGACTTAAAGAGCAATTGCTGATCTTTTCATCATGTTTATTGCCTAGACAAGTCAAAAAGCTTCAAAAGTTCATAAGCTTTTGTCTCAAAGTTGACCATAGTGCTAATTTGAAACATTCAAAGTCCACATGAAGAAAACTTATTGTCCCGCGACTCCTGTAAAATGTACAAAATCAGCACATCATGGAATGGGAATGATCTACGAGAGTTGTCGCTTTGATATCAGGCGCTTTTGTGCGGAGCTGACTAATTACAAATGGTGTCTACATCTGAGTGAAATTTGCAAATCACAGTGCCCACAATAACTTGTTCCTTACACTACACGTAATCCACAAGTTAAAAAGAATTGAACTGAACTGAATTGAACATTGGGAAGGTTATCTACTGAAAATGGTTCTGCAGTTGATTGTTGGATGGCACTTTGGAACTTAATTGTCTCCTTGTGACAAGATGTCATCCATTGTGTGTTCGTGATCCACAGCGATCCACAGCAGTGAAATGACAGGCGCTGTGAGACACATTAAAGAACACTGTATTCCCCTCGATGAATACTTCCCAAAATAATTAACTTTACACCTGACACGACAAGCTAATGAGTAACTTAACTTAAGATCTGCCCTTTGCACTTGCGACCGATTTTCTACTTCAACTTCAAACACCAACACTTCGAATGTCAAAGAACAAGTTCACAGATTCAAAAAAACCCTATAACAGGTTTATAATTTATCAATTTACTTTTAGAGCATGTTTTTAGAAGGAATTAAAGACTTTCTCAGCACTCTTAAAATTATGAAATATAGGCTGCCATAATTTCACTTCGCTTCATCGGGTGCTGCACAGTGGGGCCTGGGAACTGCTAACAAACATCCAGACATCTAAACAGACAACCTTAAAGTCGTGATCTCATGCTAGAAATAGGTAGCTGTCCTGTGCGGGCAGCAACAAGAAGTTGGCTAGTTTTGGGGACAATTGTCAAGAGGAAGAAGCAGTTTTTGCATGGCCAAAATAATTGTTCAAGAATTTTTTTGGGAGACACATTTTTAAAGATCAGAATTGTTAAATTAAACTTATCCAAGGACATAAATCAGTTGTAAAAATTCTTATGCCATATGCACTTTAAGCCTGGCTCTCATAAGTTACTAACTTACCTGTGACATAATTCAGTGCCAGCACTTCCTGCGATGCTGTTTTGTTGCTGCTGGTAACAAGACCCAAGGCAGGTCTTTACCACTGGCATAGGCATACTGGTAACTTAAAGACTGGGATAGATAGGTGACTTGTGTCAGCATATTGGAACAGTATCCCAGGTAGTACTGGCATTTATTGTTGCAGATAAGCAAGCATCATTTGATTAGGAAACAGGCTTTAATAATAATGATAAATAATGATGATGATTATACTACTACTACTACTACCACTACCACTACCACTACCACTACCACTACCACTACCACTACCACTACCACTACCACTACCACTACCACTACCACTACCACTACCACTACCACTACCACTACCACTACCACCACAACTACCACTACCACCACCACTACCACTACCACTACCACTAGTGATACTGTTGATGATAATGATCATGACAGTAGTAATTTCTAATATGCTTTTTCCATGCAAATACATGTATGATCCAAAGTGCTTTACAGTGTTCAAAAAAGTAAAATCTAATAATATTAATTAATGCCCAGAAGCACATATGTGTGTAGTAATTAAAGCTAAAAAGAAAAAATTAGTAGTAGAACTGTCATGAAAATTAATGTTTCTTGTTTCTATTAAAATGCCACCTCTCTACTAAAAATCCTTGGTCTGTCCCTGATACAGGTAGTGGATATCTGCCTTCTTGCATCTACAGTGAAACCTCTATTAAGCGGACACCTTTGGGACCTTCTGGCCATGTGTCTGCTTAATAGAGGGTGTCCACTTAATAGAGTTTGTAAAAATTGTGCAATGTTTGTGGTAAAGTTCCGAAGAACTTTTAGGTGAATTTTGATGGGGGATGACAATCATACGGCCAGATGTCAGTCTAATCCACAGTTTATTGCAGCTAAAATTAATGCATTGATTTATCCTCATTAATCAACTACAGTTCATATTTCAAGGATGTAATCTAGTACTAGTATTGTCAATTCAGTCCAGTGTTTGCTTAACAGAGGTTATTAACAATAGAAATCAGCAAACTACAATTTATTTTAGTGTCCGAGTCCGCTTAATAAAGGTGTCTGCTGAATGGGGTTCGTTAGAAAGGGAAATATATGACGTTAATTTTGGAACTGGGCTTAGTGTCCGCTTACTAGAGGGTGTCCGCTTAATTGGGGGTCCACTTAAAAGAGGTTTCACTGTATTGTCAAACAGTGACAGCTCAAACCATGGAAGTCTAATTTTCTTTTTGTTCTGTTTTAATTTTTAGTTACTTGGACAAACCTTGCAAGGAGACATTGTTAAGAATCAAATTATACAGGTGATTACTTTTATTCTGTGTGTTTAGTTTATGCCCTTTTGGCCAAGTATGTGGTTGAGATTGTTGGGAGCGAGAAACTCTACCGGGAAGGGATAGCAAAATAAACTTTTTCTTAATCCTTTAAGTCCCAATAGTGACTAATGTTAATTTTCTCCTAACGTTATCCATACAATGTCAAGAGATTAGGTTATGAGAATTAATAAAATGATCACCTAAGGGAAAATGCCTTGATCTTTTGTCAAATTCTCTCAACTCATTCATGAAGGAAATGTATGGAGATCAGTTTGGAGAATTTGTATGAAGATATTGGGGCTTAAAGGGTTAACAGATGACCAAACCGTTTGAACAGGCTTTTATTTACAATAAATGGGTGACTACATGTAAAATGAATTGTTCATCAAATGAATGACTTAGCTGTTTGAACAGACTGATGTTTCCAATAAACAGGTGACCAAGCTTTTCAACAGATGACCAAAGCTGTTCAAACTGAGGCAAATAATGTTCTTAACAGCTGACAAACGGCTGGTATACAGGAAGGTGTTTGAAAATGGGTACCCAGTAGTGTAGGTTTTTGGGTGAAAGCTCTCAAATCAAAAGCATTGAGTGCATGCTATTGAAACTGGCCTTCATTCTTTTAGTGAGAGTTTAGCCAGGTATGGCAAGTCTCCATATCTGTACCCTCTGTATGGCCTTGGTGAGCTACCTCAAGGATTTGCAAGGCTGAGTGCAATTTATGGTGGAACATACATGTTGGATAAGCCGGTAGAGGAGATTGTTTATGACGATAATGGGCAAGTTTGTGGTGTCAAGTCACAGGGAGAAACTGCCAAGACCAAGATGGTTATTGCCGATCCTTCATATTTCCCAGACAAAGTGAAAAAAGTTGGACAGGTAAATAAAATGTCAAAATAATATATTTTTAGCGGAGCCCCATACCTAAGAAAATTTGGTAATTTATCCATCAGAGAAATTTCAGTAATCACGTGACCATCTGCCTATCCACCCTTCCGCACCACAGAGGAGCCAATGTGAATTGTCAAACTTTCTAGCTAATGCAGGAGCCTGTAACCTGTGTTAAAGCTTGATAATAGACATCCATAATTATGGTAAATTAACAGCAGTCAAAATAGGGTATCTGCTGACCAGAGTCACATGACTGTATTGCGGGTTCAGGTGCCAGCTCATTGAGGTCACATGTTTTTTTGAAGTTTTCCACTGAGTAGTTGTTAGTTTTTAATTGATGGCAGGTTCAGTCCTGTTACCATTATGAATAACTTTGTACAACATAATTAACATTTCCATAGAAAAGTACTGCTCAGCAGCTTTTATTTGATTAGAATGATCACATTTAAGATGTTACACAAAGTGTCAAAAGTGAGAACCTCTTTTCTAACTTATACATTAATTTTTTCCATAATGTTTTATTTGAAGGTGGTTCGTTGCATATGTATAATGGACCATCCTGTTCCAAACCTTCCTGTTAAAGATCAAACATCATGCCAAATAATCATCCCTCAAAGTGCTGTGGATAGGAAATCAGGTACTGCTCTGAATTTTTCTTGTTTCATCAACATAAAATTATTGCGGGCTCCTCTTGTCACTTGCAATCCTAATCTCCAGGTTGTTACAATGAATTTCGCATGCGTCGCATGTATGTGCCCAGCATTCATTTGGACTTCCACTAAGAATGAATGGAATGTACAAAACACAATTTGATCATGCATGTTTCGACCTTCTACCCCGCATAATCTGATCACGCGTGTTTTGATCATCCATCTAGTGAAACGTACCCAAAAGCACAGCATTGGAGCAAAAGTGTTTGACTGCATTTGGACCTCTGATCATTGTCGCCTGCACTCCGTAACCTTTGGTTGTTACTAGTTTTAATAAAGAATTGCTGTAAACTTCTGCCTTTAAGCTTTGGGCTGATACAACATAGTAAGGAGTTTTTTAGCCTGCGAAGGCAGATGTATTTTCGTTGTCACTTCTCTCCACCTGAAAGGGAAATCCATCTGCTGCACAGGCTAGTGTTAGAAGGCGAGGAGTTGTTATGAGGGCTTAAAAACTTACGCAGAGTTCTGATTTGACGGGTAAAGCTTTGGTGTTTCAGATAGGTAGCAGCAGCAGCTAATGGGAGGTAATCATTTACAAGAGTTGGACACATGCGAAGGTTCAATGCCGTTAGAAGCTGCTCCAGCTGTGGTATCAATCAGTTACTGTGTTGTCTAGTCACGGCTATAATGATTTGTGACAGAAGCGGGGTTATGTTTCTGTTTGTGGTTGTTAATGAGGACTTATAAAATTGAGTCTTTTTATTTGTTTGTTTTTTTATTTACTTTTTCAGATATCTACGTTTGTGTTGTGTCATTCACACATAACGTTGCTGCAAAAGGCTTCTACATAGCCATTGTGAGCACAAAGGTTGAGACCAGTAATCCTTTACAAGAACTCAAACCTGGACTGGATCTCCTAGGAGAAGTTAAAGAAAAGTGAGTAGATTTTCTAAGAATAAACAAAATAAACTGGAGTTTGTAAGTAGTAATTTTGCGAGTAATGTTGTGTTAGTATGTGTAATCAATTGGTGACGAGTGAAATTATAAGGATTTGGACAAAACGCAAGTGAAATTATTCCCTAATTTAATGAGTATACCATTTAATTACCCATTATATCATGGGTGATGAATTACGTTAGCAATCTTGGATTTTTGACATGTTTATCCTGGATTGTGTCGATTGAGAACTCCACTCTTTTGAATGTTTAGAGCCTAAATTTGGCTCAAGTTCAGAATTTTTCGACAAAATACCTGTTAGAATCCTTCTTGACGTGCTCTCTCATGTGTTCAGGTTTTCTAAAGCGTCTTTTTATGCCCTGGCATCTTCATTCATGACATTTTAAAACTTTGTCGCCATCTTGCAACTGAGACGAATGGGCGGTTGCCATGGCAATTTTGTAATTTCAGATGTGAAATTACAAATGCTTAAATTTTGCGCCAAAATTAAGGAGTACTTCGTCACCTATTTTATTATAAGTATAATGCTGCTGGTAGTGAAACATCTGAGAAACAATGGACTGAAATACACTCTCTGCTAATAGGCCAGTTTGGATATATTAACATCCATACGTGGCTACGTACAAGGCTCTGGGAAATAAAACAAAAGAAATGAATATTATCATTTATTGCTGAGCGTCAAGAGGATTTCTTTATTATTTTTATTCCCGCAAGCCTCATATGTCCTTCTATTGGGTCAGTTAATAGTTGTGGGATAAAGGACTACAACTGTGTCCTACAATGTCGAGTTCTTTGTGATTTGGGTCTTTCTTAGCCAGTTTACAGCCTGCCATACCAGAACAAATTTAAACTGTTTGTACAATTAGACGTGACAAACATAAACACTGAAAAAGCAACAGGACACCCAAGGCGATCCATAGATGTGTTAGTGAGCTGCTGGCCTGGGGGCTCACACCAATAAAAATTTAATAGATAAAACAGGCTAGGAGTTTAAACTTGAAAGCACGTGCCAGTGTGGTGTTACTGGTGGTTTGTTGAGCTAGAAATGACGGAACATTAATGAGAAAGTTGAGGGAGTCAAAGTACTGGAGACACTTTGCCCTCTCATCGGGCTGATAAATTAGCCAACACTTTGCAACGCCAGTACTGGTTTCACCATAAAATGACACGTGAGGAAAGAGCGCAGATCTAGGTAGTGCTTCTGATTGGTCATGGCTCAAGGAAAATTTGCATCAACCAATCAGAAGTACTAGCCAGATCCTGGCTAGTGACATGTCATCAGTATGGAGTTTCTGCGTTTGTTTGGCAGGGGAACTTGGAAGGAGATTGTTTAATCACAACATTATTGCTGAAATGTTAAGATTCTCAAGTTTTTTTGCAAAGGGATCAATAACATTGGTAAATTTGAGGGTTTTTTTTTTGAGAGCTCTGGTAAATTCAAACAGTTTTAAAGCTTTCAATGGTTGCATAGTTGAATTCTTGAATTTTATTGGTCCATTGGCGAAAAAACTTGAGCATTTTTCGTTTTCAGAAAAAAGTTTTGAGTGGACAATCTTCTTCCAAGTGTCTCGGTTTGAGTGTCTGCACTGTAATAATGTCCAAGGGTCTTGGTTTGAGTGTCAAAACTGAAATAGTCTCCAAGTGTCTCAGTTTGAGTGTCTACACTGTAATAGTGTCCAAGTGTCTTGGTTTGAGTGTCCACACTGTAATAGTGTCCAAGTGTCTTGGATTGAGTGTCCGCACTGTAATACTGTCCAAGTGTCTTGGTTTAGTGTCAAAACTGAAATAGTCTCCAAGTGTCTTAATTTGAGTGTCTGCACTGTAATAGTGTCCAAGTGTCTCGGTTTGAGTGTCCAAACTGTTATGGTGTCCAAGTGTCTCGGTTTGAGTGTCCACACTGTAATAGTGTCCAAGTGTCTTAGTTTGAGTGTCTGCACTGTAATAGTGTCCAACTGTCTCGGTGTGAGTGTCCACACTGACACTAATAGATAATCTTTATAAATTTTGTGGTTAGCAGTGTTACAGTGCAAGAGTAAAGTGAGGCAAAACAAATGACTATAAGTCTATTTGGTTAAAAAAATGCAATTGCTTTTGATGTTATGCACTGTTTACTGAAGAAGATTTTAATTTTTTTGTCTCCTTTCAGATTCGTATCAGTGAAAGACACTTTGGTTCCAACTGATGAAGGAGAAAAGTCAAAGGTTAGTTCTTAAGGGCTGTTTACATGGAGGGGGGATCCGAAAGTGTTAGCTACCCTTATGGATCCTGTAGAAAGTTTGAGGACATGAAGTAGCCTTGCTTTCATTAGAAAATTATTGGGGACGTGTGGCCTTTATACCGAAATATTTAGGAGACCTTTATTTAACAATAATCGCAATACCTTGGTATTAAAATGTGAATAACACAACCTCCGAAAACCGTACTTAAGCTATTAGAAAACCTCCCAACATTTCAGACAAATAAAACGGTTATCCACGAAATTTTAGCTTTTCTCAAGCTTTAGAATTTTCTAGGCAATATATGCTCCTTCGAACAGTTATTTTACAGAAATAAGTCGCTGGGTGCCCCTGAGAGGTTCGACGGTACGTTTTTCTCTTTTGTATGCCGAATGACACACGTGAATTCTCTAAAATGTTATTGAATGTTGATTAAAATGCTAGAAAAAGAACGTTATGGAATGTGATTTAAGCGCAGTGTTCGTTTTTTCTCGCTAATGAATGTACCGTCGCGTTATCGGCCACAATTTTACGAAGCTGAATGCGTATTTTCTCGTAATCAACAGAGAAAGGTGTAGTACGTTTATTAGTGATACACTTACCATGAGGACAATATTGTTAGCCAATGTTAACCAATGTGAATTGTACCCAGGTTTTTATCACAACTACATATGATGCCACCACCCACTTCCAGACTACTTGTTCCGACATATTGGATGTTTATAAGCGATGTACTGGAGAAGACGTTGACTTCTCTAAAGTCCAACAAGACGTAACAACGGTCGGTGAACAATGATGAGTGCTGAGAGTGTTATGGATCATTTGCAAAGTTAAAAAAGGCCAAAATTTTATCAAGTTATTTCAATTCTTTGTGAAGAAAAGTTTGATCTGTCAAGAAAGATTGGTAGTCTAGAACTGAATGACACATTTGATGTCAAACTAATTCCGGGCGGAGCAATAGGACTCTTCCGAGTCGCCTCAAGCCTCTGTTTCAAAGCGAGGCTTAGTGCGAAGCCATAGATTTGCAATATTGATGTTTCATTCGCACGCAAATAACTCATTTTCATTACAAAGGACAAAGGTTTTGCGCTTAGCCTCGTTTTGAAAGTGAAAGTTCTTGGAATTTGGAAATGGCCTATTACTCGAGTCAGTTTTCCTGTTAACTTGCAGAGCCATATTATTGATTTTGTCGACACCAAATAGCTTGCATGAAGGTTATCATCTCCTTAAATTTTACACTAGTAAAACTGCCATGCAAGTTTCTAGAAAAAAGACCGTAAAGGGGTGTTTACCATTTGAGAGAAAAATCTGGTTAGGTTAGCCACTGAGATGATGATAAGTGGTTTACAGCTTATCTCATAACTTCCGTTTTCGATTCGGTTTGAAGTTTTAACATGCACGAAAAAGGACCCGAGAAAGTGAGAGAACGGGCAAGTGACATTCCGTTGGCTTCCTACCAAGCAGACCAACAGGAATTCCTCAAATCGTACACCTTAAAGGGCTGTGCCCGAAATGTATCAAAATGCCAACGGTAGCAACTGCCAACAAATTGAGCGAAACAAAAAAAATAATCATTCAGTTAATAAGTAGGCACAGATGGCCAAATCTGGGAAACTGCCCACCTGCCCCTCCCCTAAGCCAACATTAACACTTACCTCTCACTCAGGGCAAATTGTTGGCTTAGGGGAGGGATAGGTGGGCATTTCGTAATCTCTTCGTTAACGTTAAATTCCGTAGCGCATGAAAAAAGCATAATTGGCAAATGAACTAGACAGCCGTGGCACTGCAGCCCCTTCAGTGTTGGTTGGAATCTCTGGAAAATCCCCCCCACCCCACAAATTACCTCCCTTTTAAAATTGTCGATATTTTTTTTGCGAAATGGTAAGCACCCGAATGTATGTTAGAATTTTTTTTTCGCCCACAGTGCTCAAATCGATATTTAGTTTCAAAATCGCAAGGAAAAATTGTGTTTGCAATTGTGCCTTGATTTTGTGGATTTTCTCTGTAGTATGTACGTGTTCTGTTCCAGAAGTAAAGAAGTAAGTAGATAATATCTGGCCACTGATTCATACCATTCACGGTCAAATGCAGGGGCGGATCCAGTATCTTTTTTAGGAGGGGGTGCACTCGTCTATTGCTCTACTTCAACACCAATAAACCACATAGTTTTTTTTTTGCAGAATACCAGTTGTATTAGAAAACCGCAGGTCATCTCGGGGGTGGGGGGGGGGGCGCACCCCCTGCACCCTCCCCCTAGATCCGCCCCTGAAATGGTACTAGCTTGCAGTCGGGGCTTATAAGAAGGAATAACGTTAACTCTTTCACTCTTACGAGTGACCAATAACTAAAACAAAAAGTTCAAATTTCTTTTCATGAAACCCCAAGAATTAAATAGTACTAAAAGTTTTGCCGAAGAGGTTCATTTGAATGGTAACATCATAGCATTTCCTCCACGGATTTAAAAGTTAGGGTGGCGAGTAATCTCGCCATACTCCTCTTGGAGTGAAAAGGTTAAAATATGCATTAGAGAAGATACCTTCCAAGCCTGGACTATAAGCTATCTCCAGTCTTTAACATTGGTCTTTAAAAATAATACTAGTAATGGGCGAACGCTAANTTTTTTTTGCGAAATGGTAAGCACCCGAATGTATGTTAGAATTTTTTTTTCGCCCACAGTGCTCAAATCGATATTTAGTTTCAAAATCGCAAGGAAAAATTGTGTTTGCAATTGTGCCTTGATTTTGTGGATTTTCTCTGTAGTATGTACGTGTTCTGTTCCAGAAGTAAAGAAGTAAGTAGATAATATCTGGCCACTGATTCATACCATTCACGGTCAAATGCAGGGGCGGATCCAGTATCTTTTTTAGGAGGGGGTGCACTCGTCTATTGCTCTACTTCAACACCAATAAACCACATAGTTTTTTTTTTGCAGAATACCAGTTGTATTAGAAAACCGCAGGTCATCTGGGGGGGGGGGGGGGGGGCGCACCCCCTGCACCCTCCCCCTAGATCCGCCCCTGAAATGGTACTAGCTTGCAGTCGGGGCTTATAAGAAGGAATAACGTTAACTCTTTCACTCTTACGAGTGACCAATAACTAAAACAAAAAGTTCAAATTTCTTTTCATGAAACCCCAAGAATTAAATAGTACTAAAAGTTTTGCCGAAGAGGTTCATTTGAATGGTAACATCATAGCATTTCCTCCACGGATTTAAAAGTTAGGGTGGCGAGTAATCTCGCCATACTCCTCTTGGAGTGAAAAGGTTAAAATATGCATTAGAGAAGATACCTTCCAAGCCTGGACTATAAGCTATCTCCAGTCTTTAACATTGGTCTTTAAAAATAATACTAGTAATGGGCGAACGCTAATTTCCCCTTTGGTGATCATTTTGTTAATTCTCATAACTTTTTCTTTTGATAATGTACCGATATTGTTAGGAGTATATTGATTTTGGTCACTCCTCGGATTGAAAAGGTCAACTGGACTGCTAGCAGTCTCCTTCCTGCCAGCAGAGCCTTTCTTTCGCTGGCTCGATTTTGGCGTACATCTTTGCATGTTGCTAAGATACAGATTCGAACCCAGGCCTAATAGCCGTGCGCTTGGAACAACGGGCTCAGTTATGACCTTCGTTTTGTCAATAAACGAATGCTCGCACTTGAAAAACCAGTTTGACGAGAGGATCTGCGCATGCGGCGATTCGAAAGGCCTGACGCTATTCAAGCAGAGCCCTTCTTCTCCTCAAGAAGACAAAAGGAGGCTCTGCTCGCAGGGTGGGGGTGGGGGCATTAGAGGAAGACCTTAGATAACAATGACCTCAACCAGGTTGTGGCGTCCAGCGGTTTTAGTGGAAACAAGGGTTTGGGTGGGGTGCTCAGTATCGCGGGCTCATAAAACTTGAACTCGGTCATTGCTATTGAAGGGTTTTCGGCATTAGTGCGAGCAAACGAGGAAAACAGAGGGGAGAAGTTGATCTTTTCAGTCTCACCATCACAGTTTGCTTTTAATGTTAAGACGGACTCAAAAGAGAGTGCTACCGGTCACTTTATTGATCGGAGTGTCCAGCATTTGGATATGCGCCCTTTTTAGTACCACTAGTGTAGTACTTCTTAATTTCTTTAAGGGAAGCGAGTCCAAGTGCGGAGAATGGGAGAAACTAGACTTTTATACTGGTTCATATATAAAACTTAAACCTTATGTTAATGTGATTATCGTCGAGTTTAAGTTATGGATTCTGTGTTGTTTTTTCAAGTAGTTCGCTTGCAAATTATCACTTTTTGAAATAAGAAACTAGGCACGAACCAAAATCCAAGAGGTTTTATTTCAATCATGACGACAATGTACCGATTACTTTACATCTTTTGAAGGATTAGAATCTGAACTGGTTAGTGTGACCATCAACTATTACCTTCGTTGGATAGATCTTTTCCATGAACTGACTTAACGCTGGCAGCATGTTCTAACCAATAAACACCGATGAAAATAAATGGTTTCCCTCGTCATGTGATCGATCTTTGCGGAGGTCGGTGATTGGCTTGTTGGTTTTGAACGCGCCGTGATTTGCCAAACCTTGTTCTTGGTGCGAGACAAAATGAGTTTTAAGTCAGAAAAATGATCCATTCTCTTAGAGCCTGCTAAAAAATAATTGTAATCTCTGTAGAAATTTATAAAAAGTATAAACTTAGCTAAACGTTTCATGTGAGTATTAGTCTGTGATACTGGCAAACTGCCTAATAAAAGAGTTGATTTATATAATCCAATCCTGTTCTCGTAGCTCTCTGGTGGTGGTGTAATCAGGTAAGATTCAGCGTACGACCATGACCATAGTCAATCCGCAGTCGATTTAATTTGTTGCGGGATATTCAACACCAGATATCTGGACGTGCGTGGTTAACAATTGCTGGTTTGCACGTGAAGTTACGGCGGCCATGTTGTTGGTAGCCTGCCTTGCAGCCGGCCCACACACTCGTCTAAACCACTTTAGAGCGTCTGCGACGCAGGCAATGTTGGTGGTCAAGAATTAAAGCATTTCTCTCCTAGCTCTGGGATATAAACTTTATTTTCATATAAATTCTTCGACGAAAAAATTTCTTGTGTTGAACCCCAACATCGCCGCCCTGTCACGTGGTGGCAATTTTTGGTCACCCGTGATAACCATCCCTCCCTCAATTCAAAGGACTTTCTGTTTTTGTTTTTTTTTTTCAGTTCACTTTCCATTTTACGTTGTGAATGAAACAGCAGCCTGTGTTCTCTTCTGTGTACGACTTGCGTTACCTAATCGCGCCGTGCGTCAAGAGGGACCTTATGATCCGACGTCGCGATGGCAAAAAGAACTTCTGAAAAAAAAGGTTTAGAAGGCAAAACAACAACTTTGCACGTGCATCACACTTTTTTATACATTTCTTTGCCGCTTCTGCAGGACTACGACTAGGGTTTTATTTAGGATATTCGGAGGGGTAGAAGCTTCACCCCCCCCCCCCCCCCCCCCCCCCCCTCAAAAAAAAATGCTTAGCTTCCCCTCCCAAAAATATTGTTATTATGACAGTAAATAAGTAACTATATCAGAGAAATCATCCAGACTCGACGAGGGGACTTCTCCCCTAAACTATAAATCCTAGATAGGACCTTGATAGAACCCTGACGACGTGAATTTCCCCGGACTAGGACGACGACATCTTATTAGCTTTTATTTGATTTTCCCTTTATGAACTTGGATAGGGATCCTAGGAATTCAACTTCAGGGAGGTGGCCTACTTTTGATATGGTAAATGGGTAGGAATAATCGCGATAAATAATCGAAGAATTTAAATTTACGTTTTACTTACAGTTTGGCACGAAATTTTTGTGGGAGTTTATTTCTGCGGATTAGCGATTTTTTGTGTTATGCGGGAACTAATTTTTGCGATTAAGAGAGATTGGTTTTTCTTGCTGGGAATTAATTTTTGCGATTTTCAGAAAGTAACCAGTACCCAACGTTGATAATATTTTCGTTTTTATCGAGTACGTGCAATAGAAATACATATCTTCAAACAATGAATCAGTATTTCGTTGTTTTTGACAAGTTTTGATTGAACACACGATTTCTTAGCACTGTATTTTTGTGTAGCAAATTTAAGTTAGAGAATATTTACTCTGGAGTAAATTTTTGCCGGAAAAATGTTTGCGGTAATTTTTATTTGCGGGAACTTATTTTTGCGGATCGCTGGAAAAACCGCAAAAATCGCAAAAATTAGAACCCGCTAAAATTTCGTGCCACACGGTATTCTCCATTTGCACATCTTTCATAATGAACCTTGCTTGCCCCCAAAATTTGCATAAGCCTTATCCTAGTCTCTTCGGACGACTGAGAAATTAAAAAACAAAGATTATACAAAATTTCAGGGGCAAAGACGGTGTATTGTGGGAGATGCCCAAATGGCGAATGCGACGTTTTCGTGGTTTTCGCTTCGTTTTCGCACTGCCATCGCGAGTCCCTCCTTGCCCTTGTGACGTTGCGTTACTATCACGTGATTAATATTTTCCCGCCATTTTGACGCTCACCACCACAGATGTTTGCGCTTTCAATGCGGGAAGGAAGGAAGGCTGTCTCCACGCTACACAACGACGTGAGTATTCAAGCCTGTTTCTTGCTTTTATTTATCTGTCAGTGAGTATTTTCTATATGGAAGGAATGATTACGTGTAAATACATTTGCACACGAAAGGGAAATGTGGAAAACGGGCGAAATGACGCTAAAATGTTCTTATGATGGTTCAACTCGCCTGAACAATGAATAGCAGACATAACGATAAAACATACTTTAGACCATTATAACTTACCAATACCGGTAAAAAGCTGACACGAAGTCTTAGAATACCACGACAGAGTAAAATTAGCTTCCTTGCCTTTGAGTTCTCTATAAGACCTTGTATGTATTTAGTAATCGTTCGACGATGTTTTTGTTCTCAGCACAAAACAGCGGAGAAATCACACTAATGTAAGCGTATATAAAAAACGCAGGTGCAAAAGCATCATTTCGCTAATCATTCCCATTGTTTTTGTGCAAATTATTCTTGCGGCCTTTGCCATCACCGCACACAGATCATGACTGCGTTACTCTATGATTTGTAGCAAAGGACACCTTGCAAGACCTCTTTATTTATATGAGCAAGCTTGCCTGTGTAGATTGAACAACTTGATCCCGAAAATTGAAAGGGTAAAAGTCGTTAAGTTCTCTTATGACGGCTACCCTGTTCCTTTTCCCTGGGACGTTGGTAGATGCTGTTTGCTTACCATTTACACAAACCACGTGGGCCTAGTTGCTCAAAACAGGGTTCGTAAAGGTCATGGAAAACCTGGAAAGTCATGGAATTTAAGAATTTCATTTTCCAGGCCTGGAAAGTCATGGAATTTAATTGTCGGCCCTGGAAAGTTATGTTAAAGTAAAGATTTTTATAATAGACAAGTTAGTGCAGATGACAAAGCAAGGCTGAACAACGTAAGATCAAGACAAGAAATCAAACAGTGCAAACGGCACACATTTTGGTGGACTGAGGACACCAGAGTTTGTGTCTGTTGAACTGCTTTAGGTAAAAAATATGNTTTAAGAATTTCATTTTCCAGGCCTGGAAAGTCATGGAATTTAATTGTCGGCCCTGGAAAGTTATGTTAAAGTAAAGATTTTTATAATAGACAAGTTAGTGCAGATGACAAAGCAAGGCTGAACAACGTAAGATCAAGACAAGAAATCAAACAGTGCAAACGGCACACATTTTGGTGGACTGAGGACACCAGAGTTTGTGTCTGTTGAACTGCTTTAGGTAAAAAATATGCTAAAACAAGGAAAGTTTTAAAAATTTTTGAAAATGACAGCTTAACTTAAGGTCATGGAAAACTTGAAAAGGTCATGGAAATAGTCATGGAAAGTCATGAAATTTGAAGAGCTCAAAACAGTACGAACCCTGCAAAAGATGAAACGAATAGCACAATCCATTGGACAAATCTCTATCCAGTGGATGGCGCAATTGGTTTTTCAAATTCCTATCTGCTGGATAGTGATTTATCCAGTAGGATAGCACTATCCAGCGTTTGAACAACCAGAGCCTGGGTGGAACACTTATGCATAAACATAAAACTAAAAATATTGGCGTGGTGGGAGTACGGCAAGCTACAGAATGCATCCAAATTTACTGAACAGACTAAAAAGAGTGGAAATATTGCTTTGCCTCAAATTACAGCCTCCTATTTTCTGAAACGTCCCTTATGTAATGGTATGGTGCAATTAAACCATTTGGTTTTCCAACCGGAATTTCAGGTTTTCCCTGTGTAAAACAGCCTCATTGTTGGGGAATGATGAGAAGCGGGGCATTGCTGTTAATGCAACTTTAAGTCTGCCTTCTCTTGGAGAATTGTATCTGATAAATCAACCACAATGACGGCTGTGAAAACATCACCAAAGAAAAACAAATGAATAGTATACATCCTTTCAAATCTTACCATGTTTGTTTAGCTTAGCTTATTTTGTTGAATGTAGGCGCTGTTATTTACCAGGAATTGAAATGTTAGGCTACTTACACATGGTACCAGACAAATTTTTGACCGGCTGAAAAATTTGACTGGACACTAGGTTTATATTCATGTAGCCTTTCAATTATTATTTTTGCTCTGTTCACATGGAACTGACAAACCATAAAGTTGAATCTTTTGTCAGAGGTAGTATCATTTGTGCCTGCACAGAGCACTACTTGAGCAAAATCCAACACATTTTCCTCCCCAAAGCCCGTCGTTTCTTTTGGTCTCGTGGTCTTGAAATGAGGCGGGCTCTGGAAGTAGCCATTACCAGATGTCAGAAATTTCTAACATCTGGTTGAGGATGTGCAGAAGTTATAAAATTAATGTCATTGCGCATGCTCTTAACTGATTTTTGGGTTCTACTGGGAGGAAAATTTTCCTTGCTGAGCTCTCCTCAAAGAGTGGCTTCTTCCAGATACGTTTTGAAAATTATGGAGACAACACGGAGACTGAGTTTAGTTTGCTCAACTTGAATTCACTGATAATTTCATTGGGGCCCAGAACAAGGATCTTGCTTCGGAGACATTACTAACCGAGGTTAAAATCTGCGATGCTGGCTATTGCTAATAAGCCTTGGAGTTATATGTCTTCGTAAGGGGTTTTAAGAGGGCTTGTATATGGAGTGGCTTATCCAAGAGGGCCTATGACTGGAATAGAAAACCTGCTTCAAAGCAAGCTATAGCTGCAATGCTTATCAAAATACTTTTTTCATTTCCTAGTTTTTAATTAAGCTTCAAAATTTAATAATAATCCAACTAAGAAGAGGGGCTTATAATTTTTATTGGAGGTAGGGGAGGGCTTATAACTAGGGGGGGGGAGGGCTTTTAGTCGGATGTGTTTTTTTTTTGTTTAAAGTTAGATGCTCTCATGACTGGGGCCGGCTTCTATGTGAAGGGGGGAAGGTGGGCTTTCTAGTGTTGCAGCCATTTATGGTAGCCTATTCCAGCAGAAGGTACAAAGAGAACAGAGCAAGACAAAACCTGCATTTTATGCTCTACTTTTCCAGTATCTGAACCCACAACAGGTTATAAGCAATATTGCTGTACCCTCTTGAAGTCTTCTCCCAGACAGTGAAATGTTGAGTTATGATTGCTTTATAAGAGCCCCTTGAGAAGAACACTTTAAGTAACACATAAGCAAAAAATCTTTTTTGGTTAGCTGCTCTAATCATGTTTTAGGAGTGGAGTGCAAGGCCTGGTTTGAGACTGGAAAGAGAATTTAGAATCAGGCCTGAATAAGATTTAATTTGTTCCCATTTTATGTTATAATATCAGGGTTTCCAATTGTAGGAAAGAGCTTTGCCAGAACTGAATCAATGTCCAGTTTAACTTAGCACATATGGTCAATAACCAAGTAAACTAAGATGCCCTATGCCTCAGTAAGCTAGGGCTGTGTGCAAGCACAAAGATGGGGCGGAGAGCAGGGGTGGTTAGGATTAGCTACATTTAGTAAACTAAAATATTACTGTTGCTCAAGCTATTTTGTCATGTATCCACTCTATCAAAGGTAACATGCTGCAAAATCCAGTAGTTATCATCTTTTACCACTTGGGCCAGTATTCTAGGCTGCTGTTCATTTATTATTTTATTTATTAGCACTTTTGTTGTCCATAACATTGTCAATAAATCTAGACCAGTTTTAATATTGTATTCATATCTTAACAGTTCAATTTTCTTGTGTTTTAGAACACTCAAAGCAAAATGGTGAGAACGTATCGTAATACCTTGTTTGTAGGGATCAGATAAGGAACAATTTATTATTAATCAACCAAAATTGCACAACAGCTGCTTCTTTGTTTTAATAAGTGTTCATTATAAACAAACCCAAATTTGCTTGTTTATCTTGTTTAGGTCGATATGGAGGCAAAGTTTGTGCGCAACAAAGGAAAATTTTCTTTGTCAAGGGTCGGTGTCCTTGTGGGAACTTCTCAAACTTTTACCTTCACTGCTTTTGCAAATAGACCGAGCAGATCAAAGTAAATCAGACACGAACTTCACGTTTACAGTTCGGGAGGGCAGGAAGTATCATATTGTGCGCAGAACATTGTATTTTTAATTTAGTGTGCGCATTCAATTGCTTTCAGCCAATGAAAAAGATCGTATTTTCCGTTGCGTCCATAGCCTACAAATTAAGCCGAGTGGCTCTGGGGACGAGAATGAATCGAAAGTGACGTCTTCCAGCTGCGTTGCCACGCATCCATGCAGCCACGCCTTGCCGTACAAAAATTTAGACGGTACGGTGTTCATACCGCGCCGGTCAAGTTTGCTGTACAAACTAACGATAATGGTCTTCACCTCACGCCGGTCAAATTTTCGACCGTATCGGCTAAAAATTTGACCTCGATTTTGGTGTTCTAATTTTTGAACTGCTAGGCATCTAAATTTTCCAACGGTTATTTAAGGTGTTTCCATCAGTGTGAACGGAACGCATAATGGCGCAAATTTTCAACCGGTCGATTTTTCGACCGGTGCTGTGTGAACTTATACCCTTCGTTTACGTCGCATTATAACGTTATACCAGGGACGACGAAGGGCAATTTCAACTGGGGGACTGCGCTTAAAAACTGGCGCGTTTGTTGGGCCGGGGTGGGGCGGTCTGGGTAATCCTTCACAGCGGTCAAACGACTGAAATTTGCAAAAGTTAAGCGAAATACTTCAAAGTTAAGGTTGCTACTTTCACTATGGAAAGTTTAAGGTATTACAAACATCCTGTTAGTTTACTAAACTTTTTTAAAGTTTACTAAAAAAGTTCTAAGTCATTGAAAACCGATGCTGACGTTATTATCGGCGCCATTTTCAAACATGATTCTCTTTTAGCGCGAAGCGTTTTTAGCGAAAAAAGCTCAAAATTTTGAGAAAAATGGAAAGATAGTTATGTTGACTTACTGATTTATACATCTTTGCCCATTTTTCTCTAACTGGTTAATGAAGTCCCAGCAATAAAAAACAAAAATAACGATTTAGACATATGACCGCGGTGGTGGGTAATCCTCCCTCAGAAAATTTTGAAATCTAGAGGCACAGAAATAGCCTTATTTTTAACGTTCTCAATGAGATATTTCTCCTAAAAACTCAACCTGGGTAAGGTGTAAAATAACAGGTTCTTCTAGTGCTTACCGCATGTACCTTAATTATACTTAAACAAAACATTTTTCCTCTAGAAAAGTGGGAGGGGGGAGGGTCTAAAGCCCCCCTACCCCAGCTCTACCGTCCCTGTATACGTACAAGTCGTGCAGTGGACGTCAAAAAAGTGCTGAATAGTATAATGCACGTACAGAGCTGTTATTGTCCGTGCTTAAAAACCAATTTTTTTACCCTCTCTTTGCCGTCGTCGTCGCGGCTGCCTAAGCTCTGTCTCAAACGTTTGAGACGACTAAGTCGTTTGGCTAATTATAATGCGCCGATCAGACGCACTTAACTTCAGACGTATTTATTTCGTTGACGTTTAATACGTTTGTCTTATTTCTTGAATTCATTGTAGACGTTTAAGCCGTCCTCCACGCCTTCTAGTATAATAAGAACGGCTAATTTGTCTTGTGAGAGACTGACTAGTTAAAAAGCTTCAGTGCCAGAACGACATTAAGCGCCACGGTGGCCTAATGTTTAGTGTGCTGGACTCTGTATCAAAAGGGGGGTTCAGATATTGCTGGAATCAGTGTTATGTTCTTGGGCAAGACAGTGCCTCAACATGCTTTGGCTGATCCACGATGAATTTTTTCTAGGGACCAAGTTTCTTCTCAGCCTTAGAACTTTTCATCATTTTTACCCATTAGTAAGTCTGGTTTATTAATAAAATCGTCGCGCTTAGAAATAAGCGAATTGCGAAATTATTTTACAACGATATAGGTATCAATTAAAAAAAAAATTAATTTAAACTAATTACATCGTGTTCAAAACAATTATGAGAAGATATAATACAATAAATTAGACAAAAAACTAGAAACTAGAAGTATATATCAAGTTATACATTAAATTCCCATAAGTTCCTAAATTAAATGCCATGAGCATAAAGGCACATCGCCGGAAAAAAGTTCGTTTAAAGCGTTCAGTTTTGCAACTTATAAGGGATGGTCTGTCTCTGTTGCGAAGGGAGCGGCCGTCCGCCTGCGACCGAGTCGGTGGAACAAGATGGCGAAGACGGGACTCGGGCTCTTATTTCTTATCTTGTAACTCTTCAATTTCAGTTCACTCGGTCATTCTAGTCTGATGGGTGAATTTAGAGGGCAGGACCTCTGCCTCCCCCCCCCGGACCCTCCCCCAGGATCCACCACTGCTTAGCTCATTCTCTCTTACCACTGCTCTTTCCACCCCGGGGGCATACTTGGGCACCCGGGAATGTAATGCGGGGGGCCGGGGCAGGGGTAACCCTGCAATGGTCTGTCACCCTGTCCAAGGGAGGATATAAACATTCCTGATCGCTTCATGCTTTATAGAAACTGGGTTAAGCTCCGGCCTGATGAACCTCTTGGCTCAAACGCAGACATAAGCTCTTAACCGTATAGCGACATTGAAAGATTTTATGTCCTTGAAAATAATCGGGGTTTGCAAACGCCTTTGCCGGCCGGCGCTCGAACCCGCGTCCGTGGCAGACCGGCGCTAGATTTTTTTTAAATATATATATATATATAATTTCCAGATAAATAGTAAGACATAGAAAAACTGCGCTGGTCCAATTTTCGTTTTTCAGGTAAAACCAACGACCGGAGTGTTTCCACACATCAGAAGTGTCTCAAATGCTTTTCGTTTATATGTTTATCTGTTCGGATGTCTCGGGAACATTTTTTCGTCTCATCCAAAATTGTTAGTTAACATGTTGATTCTGTTCGAACATTCAAGGTCATCAGATATCCGTGCTTTCGTTATAATTCTGACCGGAAACATTTCCTCGTCATACCGAAATTTTCAGGAGACCATTTTTCAAACAATAGTCGCAATTTCTTTCAGCTAATATAATGTGAAAGACTAGCTCCGAAAATCTAAGGAAAGTTAGTAGGAAATTCCGAATATCTAAGAAAAATAAATCGGTTATTCAGAAATTTTTAGCCCTTCTCGGAGTTTAGAAAATTCTAGGCAATATTTTCTCTTTCGAAAAGACATTTTACAGAAAAAAAATCGGTGGATGCACAATGGTTTTTGCAAACATAAAGAAGCAGGCAATATTTAAAATCGATGTGATAAAAAAGTGCAGTTCATTTGAGTGTCAATGTATTTAGCACGAGAGTACTAATTGGGGGCACTATTTTTTTACGTCTCCTACTGGAGACGGGACCGCCATTTTACGTGGTCATCTGAGCCATTCGAAGGTCTAGCCATTTGCAGGGTAAAGGCAATACTTGACTGCAAAACAGTCGATTGTTTTCTCAAAAGCAGTAAAGAAATCGGTAAAGCGTGACGTAAGAGTCTTAAGCGCGTGAAGCGCGCGAGCCTCACACACCCGTAGGGAGTGTTTCATCCTCGTTCCAGACCTTTTGTTTGACTGTTCGCGCGTACTTGAATACGCAAAAATACGGACTGTTTTGCAGTCTAAGGCAATACCTTCATTTCTCAGTCATTTTAAGACCCTGAGTGTTGGTCCGGCCTCGGGAATCGAACCCACGACCTCCCGCTCTGTAGTCAAGCGCTCTACCGATGGAGCTAATCCAGCTGCGGTTAAGATGAGATTATAATGATAATCAAAGCGTACGTGGTCTGTATAACTTGATTTAAAATCCGAAAATAAACTAAGAAATCTAATTTTTGGACACTTGAGCCAAATCTGCCACAGATTTCAGTCACGCACATTAATAGATTGTATCAGTAATCAAAAATAAAGAGGGAGATCTTCTACCTTCCTACCTTGTTGCGTTAAAATTTGCTTTGATCAATGCAGCTAACACGATGCACTGATACTGCTGGGAAGCAACTAGCAAGTTTCGAGTTTTAAGGATTTCTAGTTTTTAAGTGTGAAAGAATTGTAAAAATCTTAATCACTTAGTAAACGGAAGATTTTTGCATTATACCATAAATTTAATGGTGTTAATTATGGTGACATAAATATCATTCCTTGTTCCACATGTAGATTAGTAAAGTATGGATAAGAAAATTTACCGGTTATTTTCAACAGGGGCACCCAACGAGAATATAGTTCAAAACCACATAAAAATAGCATTGTTGAACGTACTTTAGTATTTAAACGGTAGATAAAGGCTTATTTTTATCCCCTAAAAATTTTTCATCTGTTCGGATTTCCTAGCTGAAAGTATAGTGATCCGAAAATTATAGGGATCAAAATTTACCTTTTCGAAAATTTCAGCCAGAAAAAAGGCTCCCGAAAATTCTAGGTGACCTTTTTAAGGTAAAAATCCGTTAAAAATGGACAATTATACGATTTTTTTGAGGTTCGAAAATCCTAGGAGAGGCAGGCAAGCAAGAAATTTTTCAGAAAATGATCCGAAAATTCTAGACCTCAAATCGTCTTCCGAACAGATAATTTTCAAAAAATTGTCGTTGGGTGCCCCTGTTTCAAGTAAGGAACAAGTTAAGAATTTAAAAGTGTACTATTAGATTCTTATTGACTTATTGATATTTATTTTTTGTATGGGCTGATCGTCAATGTTCACGATAAATCAGATATAAAAGCCGGTTGATCTGCCGAATTGGATCGAAGGAATAATAAATCATTCTGCTAATATTTGTTATTGATAGGGTTAATTGAATTAAGTTTAAAATTCATGTGCGGTTTTTAAAGTATATAATTTTATACTTAAGGGTATTTACTAAATACCATCCTAAATGATTCTTTTGAAAAGTGAGCTTGCTCTTGGCGTTATCTATCAAAAGGAAATAACAAAGATGGGTCTCTTTTTAAACTGCCTAAGATAACAAAACTAATTTCTGCTCTCATCTCAGCGCTTTCTCTGCCACTTTTGTCTATTTTTGATTGACAAGTCAAAATATAGTTTTTGCCATAGACAAAATACTTTTACAAAAAAGCTATCCCGCTGTTATATTAATGTTATAAATCATCGATCAGACAAAATTAACCTGAGCATGAACTTTCAGCCCGGGGGGCGGGGGGTACTCCAGTATAAAAGTGACGGGGTTGCTTGTCGAAAAATTTCGACAACACCCCTAAAAGGCACCAGGATTTTGTTTTATGGACGTGTCCCAAATTCACTTCCACCCCTAAGTGCCGTACCAACTCAACAACAACAAATTATATAACTGGCACTGCAAATGTTAATAGTAATAAAGATAACTTTCGGACACTTTCTTCTCAAGGACTTTTCATGAAAGTTTTGTCATAAATCTTTATCCTCATAAAGCGTATCAACTCTGGTGGCAGTCATTTTAGGTTTTAGAACACTCATCGATACCAATCCACAAATTTAAACGCCTAAAAGGAAGGACGAGCACCCCCGTCATTTTTATAGGGGAGTACCCCCCGGGCTTTCAGCCTGTCCTTTGTGTGCGGGTAAAATTTCAGTTCAAGTTTGAACATTTACGTGGGGAACTCATCTTGAAGACTTAACCGTTATCCTTTTGTTAAAGAAGTTTCAAAACGGAGCCAGTAATTCATCAGGGGCACCCAACTAGAATATAGTTCAAAACCACTTAAACACAGCAGTTATTAAACATATTTTAGTATTTAAACGGTAGATATAGGCATATTTTAATCTCTTAAAAATGTGTCATCTGTTCGGATTTCCTAGCTGAAAGTCTCGTGATCCGAAAATTATAGGGATCAAAACTGGCCTTTTCGAAAATTTGAGCCAGAAAAGTGGCTCCCGAGTAAAAATCGGTTAAAAATTGGCAGTTATACCATTTTTTAGAAGTTCGAAAATCCTAGGAGAGGCAGGCAGGTAGGAAATTTTACAACAAATGTTCCGAAAATTCTAGATCTGAAATCGTCTTCCGAACAGATATTTTCCGAAAATTGACGTTGTGTGCCCCTGCTGTTTATTACACATTGTCAATTGAATTTTGAGTTGTGGATGAAAATGAAAGCTACTGAGCAGAACTTGCCTATGGTAATGTTTGTTTTGCCTACTTAACTTTTGAAAAAGCTACTGAGCTGTACCTTCCTGTGGTATTGTTTATTATGCTGTACAAGGTGATTCTAACTTTTGAGTCTGTGGACGAAATCCTAAAGTGTGACCATTCAAATGAAAGCTACTGAACAGTACTTTCCTGTGGTATTGTACATGTTTATTATGCTGTACAAGGTGGTTCTAACAAGTGTCTAACTTTTGAGGCTGCGGATGACTGAAATCCGTGAGTGTGACCATTCATATTTAAGCTATTGAGCAGTGCTTTCCTGTAGTATTGTTTAATGTACTGTACAAGGTGATTCTAACTCTTGAGTCTGTGGATGAAATCCGTAAGTGTGAGCATTCAAATGAAAGCTATTTAGCAGTGCTTTTCTGTGGTACTGTTCTCTATGCTGTTTTGGGGTGTCAGTCTAACTTTTGAGGCTGTGGATGAAATCCTTACAAGTGTGACCATTCAAACTATGAAAGCTACTGAGCGGTACTTTCCTGTGGTCTTGTTTATTATACCATTCAAATGAACGCTACCGAGCAGTAATTGCCTGCAGTACTGTTTATTATGCTGTATGAGGTGGTTCTAAATTTTTAAGCTGTGGATGAAATCCTAAAGCGCGAGCTTACAAATTAAAGCTACTTAGTTGCTCCGGGCCGAGCTGTACTTTCCAGTGGTGTTCTTTATTTATTACGTATAAAGTTATTTATCCTCTGCAAGGCAGGTCTAACTTTCAAGTCCCAAAGATGAAACGCTTGATTTGTACCATTCAAGTCAGTAGAAAATAACGGCAGTATATTGTTGCGGTAATATTTATTTTTTCTGTACATTGTAGTTCTAACTTTAATAAGTCTCTAGATGAAATCCTTGATGCCATGATTTAGTATAGCTCTTTTGCGACTTATAGATTTCTATAAATTTCTTTTTTACATCACTGAATATCCAAAACAATAATATTATGTTCATAATTTTCTATCGAAGTGGCCTACCACTGCCTATGGCAGTTTTCAGATGACCGGTCTCTGGGCTCAGTTATTCCAAACTTCTAAACAATTTCACTCCCATTGTTAGCTATTGTTGGCAACTATTACAGTAATTTGCCTTGCCGGTATCTTGACTAATTAAGCTTTGTTTATACGTCACCAGGTGTCCCCTGCTGGGAAACGGCCCGAAGGCTGCTCAACAAAGTGATAAGGATCCGATAAGTGGGCCTCTCAGGGGGCCGCTGAAATGACAATAATTAGCCTAATTAACATTGTGTTTATCAGTCATGTTTAATAATGTCATTTAATTAATACCTTGTTCTATAGTCAAACGTTCTCTTCCAACTAGGAAATTCAATATTCTGTGAGTTCACATAACCAGCAAGTTTGGTCCCACCGACATATCTTGTAATTAATTCTCTGTGAGTTTTTATCTGAAACGTTTGCTTTTCTGCCCGCAGATGAACAACACAGGGGTTGTATTATCTATAAAAATGGTTAGATACTGAAAACCGCATTGCTGTGAAGTCAAGCGATTCAGCATTGATAGACATAAACTACTTGTTTTACACAAACAAACTCCATGGAAGCTTCAGTATTGAATCGCAAAGCGTCCACCAAAAAGGTTCAAGACGTGGGATTTTCACGAGAATTTTTCCTGGACGTAATTCCAGCTCGTGTAGACCTTGTAGAGGAACCGAGCATACCAATGTATTCCTGGTTCATCGTGGGCAGAACAGCCTGGGAACAACCACTCGGCGAATCGCAGGGGCGCAAAGCTCCAGTGAGCTAGTTTAGCATCTGAAATCACAGCATAGCACGAACACAGCACATTATCCACTACAATTGTGCCTGTTTCCGTGAGCGGAGCGTACGCGCCCAAGTTTTGGGTTCTCATTACACTTACTATACGTCCAACTGTGAACTTCCCCAAAGCGGAACCGTTTTGCACATAAACAAAGTCATCCACTTTTAAGTCTCGTGCGTGTACCGTTGACTTCTGGCGCGTTGTTCTGTTTAGTTGATAGATCAAATGAGAGCCCGTAATTGTGACTTGAGCAGCGGGATTTTCAGTCTGAATTGAAACGTACTTTGTAGGCTTGTTAGGGTTGATATCGAGAAAAGTAACAACCTTGCTGTAGACTAATTTACCGCTGGAATCCATGCTCGCGACTTTGTCTCCGACTTGCAGATCTTTCATTGATTTAGTCCTTCCTCCTTCCAGCCGAACCAAAGAAGTTTCTGGAAAGCAACTCCCCTCTTCCCCCGCACCATCTGCAAAATTGAAGGGAATAAAAGGATATATATATATCTTTTTGCCTGAAAGAAACTGGAACGTTTCTCTTTTCCAGTAAACTAACACAGATATTTCAGTGCATGATATAAAATACCAGAAAAAACAATCACTATGAACAGTATAAAAACAGTACCGCACAACAGGCAAGATTAGCCAAGGGCACCCAACGTCAATTTTTGGAAAATACCTGTTCGGAGGACGATTTGAGATCTAGAATTTTCGAAACATTTTGTGAAATTTCTTGCTTGCCCGCCTCTCCTAGGATTTTCGAACACCTATAAAAATGGTATAATTGCCCATTTTTAACGGATATTTTACCCTAGAAAGGTCCCCTAGAATTTAGAAAATCACTTAATAGTTTGGTAACTGTGGGCGTCTGCTCAAAGTTAAAAACAAGCAGAAAATCGGTTGTTTTTACAAATAAAGTCGGGAAGAATTCTCGATATTTTGTGAGCGTTTTTGATAAAAGAATTATTCCACTCGATAGCCAACACGCACTCGTAGAATAATTGTTAATTACAAATATAAATAGGCAGACTCCTCTCTGAGCGGACGGACACTGAGTCCCGGTCCCGTCGGCGCTCGTGTTGGAGAGAATTCACTTATGTCATTGGCTAAATAGCCTCGCCTGGCACCCACTGCACGCACGAGGAAACTGGGCCGACTTCTGGGACAGAAGATATTTTTGAGCGATGAAGCCTTTTCCCTCTTAACATGCCTTGACGATATAAAATTTGTATCGCTAGCTTCTTTACTCTCATAGAGACGGTTGGACTGAAAATTTGGGCGAAACCACCGCTTAAGAATGTGATAAGTCCACCTCTTGTTGGCGTGCGTCGCCGGCTCAGAACCGCCTTTGCTTAAGTTCCCTCGTCCAGTAATGATCCCAGAAACCATTGCGGTCCCCATTTCGGTTCCAGTTTTTTCTTCTCTATTCTAAAGTTGCGAATGCATTTACTTCAAGAACCTTAATTTACCAATCAAAACATGGTTTTCCCATGTTTTGATTGGTCAATTTTGTTTCTTGAGTTTTGCTTTTCGACTTTTACCACCAAGAGCTCATCAAGTCTAAATAAGGTGAATTACCAATTTTAACAGAAGCGTGGATGTAGCTTTTGCTTGCATAATTCACCCAATCAAAACCAGCTTTGTAAGCCATTTGCCCCAGTTCGCCTAACTTCCTTTTGTCTCTGTCATCCGTCGCTAGGTCCACGGCACGTCCTTCGTGGTGCAAAGAATGTGCAGTGTGATGCCTTCTTTTCTCAGCTGTATCATAGGCGCTGATGACTTTCAGTTTGACAACTTTTCCGCTTCCCTTAGAGCCCCATTTGGCTTTTACTGCCTTGGCAAGAGCATCAAGCTTCTCCTTACAATTCTGCAAATGCCATACGAGGCGAAAGTAAGTGAAACAAAATTCAATATGTTAGTGTGGAGATACTAGTTGTTCACCATTTACAAAACGTGTCCAGAAAATCGTTTGGAAGTTGAACGGAACACGACTTTTTTTACCGTTTCAGCGGACGATTTCCAGGAGCAACGTTATATCTGAAAAGCTAGTTCTGTTTTTCTGGTTGGAATGTTCCTAACGGAAATTCGAGTTCCATTTCTTCAAGGCCATCTTTGCATTTTTGATTACCACTTTCAGGCCTTCGCGGCCTTTTTGCGGCAAATGGAACTGATTTGGACGGTAAACACCATTCCGAGACGAAAATTTACCAATCCTGAATGTTGCTTAACATCTGCCCAAACCCAGGCGCGGATCTATGATTAATACTGACCGATTTCCTAAACGGGGGGCCGAGGGAGCAAGCGTCTAGGGGAGCCCCGGGAATTTTTTTTGATTTTTAAAGTCCCTAAAGTTCCCTTCATTTATCGGGTTTCTGTCGAATGCCCGGAAATTGGAAAAAGAAAACATTTGTCCAGACTATTTTCCAGAAAGTTCTATTATTGTTATTTTATTATTAAAAATGTTTATCGTGAAAAATCTGACCGATTTCCGTAAAACGGTGGAAACCGGTGTGGATCCGCGCCTGAAACCGTTTTGCTTAAGTAAATGGTAAACAAACCGGCCACTGTATTCGTAAAATGCGAATTCCAGTATAACGGTTTCATAGCGCGGATTTGTCCCTGCAAAATCCTTGGCCGTTGTTTCAACGATTTGCCTCGATATAATGGAATTTTTGCAAAAGGCTTCCCATGAACCTGCACCTAAACCTACACCTACAAAGGCAGTTAAATCTAAATCAGTTGCGTTCTGCAGCATTAAACTGCTGTCTAAAACTTGTAATAAAACTGAGACGAATAACTATGAAGTCCCTGCAAAATTTTCACAAAAACGTTGCCTCTTAGTTCAGGCCCTTAAAAAGGGGCCCTTAAGATACTACGACGGGAAATTTTTGACTTTTTAGGTACATTTTGCACTTTTTGGTACGTTTTCTTGCTGTCTACTCCTCAGTTTTAACTTACTTCGTAACAAAGTTCCCCAGTGAGACGTTTCTGATGAAATGCGTGAACACAGAATAGCAGCGGTGGTAATTGTCTTTCTGAACTTACACACGGTCCGTTAAAATCCAACTCCATGAAAATTTGCGTACATTTGAAAACTGGACAAATTGAAATAAAGGCGATAAAAGCGAAAAAAAAAACGCCATCGCAATCACGAAATCAAGCTGTGCAAGAGGAACTATATCAAACACTAGAAGGAGTGTTTTCATCGTTGTGAAACACCAAGAAGTGTTTTAAATGAACTCGGTGGGAATCGACTTCAAGGTAATTCGATCAGACAATAACGTAACCAGAAATACGTGTCTAAAATCTAAAAGAACGTTTTGTAAAGAAGTAATCACAAGCTTTGTCTTAAAAGGTATTTATTGCCCTTGTTTCTGTCATTTTGCAACGTATCGACAATTATGAAGACAAACTAGAACTGTTCAAGAACTTGTATTTTTTAGGACTTTTTATAAATCTCGAAAAAAATTATCAATGTGAATGATGTATAGAACCTTTTACCGTTGAGGAAGTGTCACAATCTTCTCTTAATGCGCAGAAGAGAATTCGCGAAATCGAATGATGAAATGACGTGTTAATTTCTTAATTCTCATGAATGGTCTGATCTTTCTGCAGGAGGTTTAGCAACTAAAGTTTTTTGACAAATCTAGCTTCAATTTACCGTGCCGATTTTAAAATGAATAGCCTAAAGTAGGTTTGTGGGAGAAAGGTCGTCGTTGGGTATCCCAGTTTTCCAGGTACTGTAAGAGGCTAAATTTCCCACATGGGAAATCAATTGTGGCTTTGCCGCTCGTTATTGATAGAATATTCCCCAATTTGGTTTCCCGCCAGTACGTCAGGGATGGTATGATCACAAAATGGCTCTCTGAAGATTTGTGTTAACCTTGCAAGAATAGTGCAAGTACACTTGCTTATCCTCAAAATGACCTTTGAACTACAGGAAAAAAACCAAAAATTCACTTTCCAAGGTGTAAGTAAAATTACTTCATGATTGTTAACAGATTTTTTCCCTGATGACATTGGCAAACTGAAAACGTTTGGCCCGTTTTGTAATAACTCGACCCGTCTTCAGACAATTCAAGTAGCTTTCATGTAGTCTACTAGTATCATGCAAGAGAAATATTATCCTCTCTGGCTTCAAGGTAACTTCGATTTTAGCAGGACCAAGCCTCTCTGTTAACCAGGGATTTCCACGAACACTTTCACCCCGGGAATCTCACTTCCAGGGCGAATGATGGAGTCTGCTTACTTCCAGGGTTGTTCTAACTTTTGACTTTCTGAATGAAATCATATGTTTTACCTTTCAAATGAATTCCGGCTTAAACGGTACTTTCACATGATGCTATTTTTTTCTCAGCTTTTCACAAAATGAAATTCACATCTTGACATTACCCAACTCTGTGGGAGTGTCATGGTTTATACAAACGCGTCCGTTGGATTCTCAATCAGTACTAAATCTTGGCAACTCTTCCCTTTTAAGTTCACAGAATGGACTCAGTCTAAAATACTCAATTATAATTATAGCATTTATTTTTATATATATATACCTTGGTCATTCGTCTTTCATCTCCGTTCTTTTTCTCATCCTTAAACACAATATCTGGGTCGTAGTTTTCCGAAAGCGCTTTGAACTCATCGCTTCCTCTTATGACTACACCAGTGTAAGGCCCACTAGCTTCATTCGATGTTTCTTCTACATCAGGGACACGTTCCTTCTGTTGCAACGGGTCGCTGCGTCTTCTAGTGTCGATGGCTGTTCTTCCCGGCCCGCAAGCCATCAGTAATCCACCAGCAGAAATGATCATTGCAAAAATCAAATGAAGTCGGGGTACCAAACGCCTGGAAGACATGGGCGTGTATTGTGAGCGCCGCATCTGTAGACTTCGTTCTTCAGCCTTGTACTAAGAAACGTTTGCCAAACGTTCGTCCTAATGTTTTCAGACTTCACCGACCTGCCGTTTACTCTTATAAGGAGAAATAAAAAACATTCGTTAGCCTAGAGTTTGATATTGCCTCTTTTTGAATGTTTTAAGCACCGTGAGAGCCGGGCTGTAAGCGCTAAGCTAATATGTTCTAACATGTCAATGACAAATCGCGTTCGGTAAAATAAGAATCCTAAGACAATGCATTTAACAATAAAACAACATAGACAGAACGCAAGCTCTAATCAGTTCAAAGCGGCCGATCTGTTGGCGATTAAGCGCAAAAGATAAGGCCCTGCCTGGGCGATACCTGCTCATCCAAGATCTATATCGTTGGATAACTTAAAGCAGACCTACCGGATCTGTTTGGCAAACTTCTCTTCATCGTAAGAATTGTCAGGTACAAGCGTTTCTCGATCAAGTTTTAGAGCCCTCGGGGTTACTTTCAGGAGCTCGCTGGACCCCCGTAGGTATTGTGTTCTTGGTGGATAAAATCTGCAACCACAACTCCACCTTAGAAAAGAAAATAAAACACACAAATTCAGCGAGCCGAGCAAGAGTCAGTACACTGTCAGTGGGGAGTCATTAGGAGCTACACAATGCACAGTTGCTTTATAATCATCAGTTTTGTTAATTTGTCGGCTTCATGGCTTGAATGGTAGTTTTACTAAAAGGTTTTTTTCATCTAATTAGCAAGATGGAGTTGCTTCGTGTCTCAGTCCACCTGGGAATCGTTAAAGGTAGTTATCGCTTCGCCTGGTTAAACGGATGACGTCTGTCTTTCTCCTAATCGGCTCGAAATTAACCCGTTGAACATTTAAGTCCACAAACACGAAAAAATATCTCAAATCTTCTTAATAAAGATTGGTATTAAGAAAACAGAAAAAAAAATTGCTGTCCACAGAGAATTTCTACTGACTTCATAGCGGCTTTCGTTTTCATCGGCTTTTAGATACTATCGGTAAATGGTCAGTTGCTCATTTTCAGAACAACACAAGTTACAATAAAAGAAAGTACTGCTCAGTAGCTTTGATTTGAATGGTCACGCTTTATCCACTGACTCAAAGGCTATAAACAACTATTCAAAATAATAAACATAACCACAGGCAAGAATTTCCCGCGCTTTTGGTCATGCTTATACATGTACATCGATATACAAGTAAGACAGCTTTCACGGGTAGCAACATTAGTAGCTTTTGAGAAGTTACACTTTTGGGATTTTGTTTACAGACCACCTCGCACAGCATAATTAACAGTACGACGGAACTGAGTAACTTTCATTTGAAATGGTCATATCTTAGGATTTCATCCTAGAATCAAAAGTTAAAACCACTCTGTACATAGGAGTACAAACTAAGCCGAGCACTGTTTATAGTACTACGGCAAGTGCTGTTCATTACCGCCGCGGCTTTGAATTGTATGATGATGACACCTAAATAGTTCATTCACTGCATTGTCAACAGTTACTAAGTAAAGTAGCCTTGTGCTGTATGACTAGAGTCACTACGGGTGTGTGCGACTAAACCAACCATCTTAGTACTACAGAACCTCACTGAAATACAGGATTTAGAGCCACTTTGTATCACCTGAAACTTGACTGTTCCGAGCTATGAGAAGACAAATACAGTTTATAAAAGGGTAATGGAACTTTTCAGACAGATTTTCAGTGCGAATTTTAGATAAAAGGAAATAGACCCTTCAATCCCGAAGTGAATAATTTTGAAGTCCCAGTGGCACCCAACGAGAATATAGTTCAAAACCACTTAAACTAGCATTGTTGAACGTATTTTAGTCTTTAAATAGATATAGGCATATTTTTATCCCTAGGAATTTTTCATCTGTTCGTGTTTCCTAGCTGAAAGTCTAGTGATCCGAAAATTATAGGGATCAAAACTTACCTTTTCGAAAATTTCAGCCGGAAAAAAGGCTCCCGAAAATTCTAGGTGACCTTCTTAGGGTAAAAATCTGTTAGAAATGGGCAATTATACCATTTTTAGGCGGGGGGGGGTTCGAAAATCCTAGGAGAGGCAGGAGAGCAAGAAATTTAACAACAAATGTTCTGAAAATTCTAGATCTCGAACAAATATTTTCCAAAACTCGTCGTTGGGTGCCTCTGAAGTCCGTAAGTGCGGTCCTAATTTTTGTTTAAGTGGACGAAATTATTTATATTGTGACCATTAAAATAAAACCTCTTTAGCAACACCTCCAGGTAGTGAAATTTGTTTTTCAGCGTTTTCCAAAATGAAATTTTGAATTTCTGTTTAATTTTGAGTTTTTCAAAATTTTTTTTCCCAATTTTGAGTCACTTTTGGGAGTGAAGTGGTTAAAACATTTTGCAACTGAGCTGTTGATCACCAGGATTAACGTCAATTACACCCACTCAGACCTTTCTACTTCTCAGTAAACCGATTTTACAAAACGAATATGGGCGGAGTTTTCTACACTAGAAGCAAATTTCAACATTTACAGATCGCAATCAGTGATTTATAATCGCCTTAACCATTTCACCCTAAATTTGCGATCTAGATGGTTCCTGATATGATCTCGTCTCGAAAGTGGAGAAAAACGCTTTGTGGTCTGAAATTCTTTTTATTGTAAAATGTTGGACGGCGGGTTCACGAAAGTTGCATCGTTGCAGAGTTCAGTTCCCAAATGCTTTCACTTAGTGGAGTCTGCATGACTTTCATCGTTTTTGCTCAGTCGGGGACGATTTGAATCCTCGACCCCTGAAATAGTCTCGGGGATTTTTGTTGTTTCTTTCGAAAGAAAAGGAATGCGTGTTCTCTCTAGTCCCCTGAATTCTAAAGAGAAAACGGCAGATCGTGATTCAATAATTTGTTCAATGGCGCCATGAAATAGACGCGTTGTAGCTCTATTTCTAGGTCCGAGTTCAACGAGGTCGCGTTTCTCAGCCAAGAAACTTTGCTCCACCTTGTCACTCCTCACCCAGCGGGCCGGTTTTTTCAAAGCTGGGTTAAGATAATCCAGGGGTAGTGCGAAATTTGAATTCAGATATAAAAGCTTACAAAGCAAATTTAGTTCAATTCTTTTTGTCTACAATTTGGTTAAGATGCTCTAAAACGAATGGAGAAAATCATTCTACGGAATACTTTAGAATAAAGAGAAAAAGGAAAACCGGATTAAAATTCAACCACGGGTTAGCGCTAATCAGCCCTCGCGTTGAACTACTAGGTCAGGTTTATAAATAGGTACTGCTGGTACTGTCGATAAACTGCCTGTGGTAACCTCAGGAAACGTGGAGGCGGGGAGGTTGGGGGATATAGCCACCGCAATAATTTTGCCGCCGTTTGAAATGTTTCTACGAGTAAATAGCATGCTCTTCGGCTGACAAACATTCGTTTACGATGCGGATTTTAAAAATGTTAAACTGTATCAATATATTTTTGTATATATAAGTTAACCTTCTTTAAAAGATGATCCACCGGCTAATAATTTTGTGACGTTGTTTACTCTATTAAAGATTTCTATTATTATCATGGTCAGAAATGCCTTTTCTCATAAACACTGTGAGCAAAATTTCATGAAATTAAATTTGTCGCAAATGCACCCCAAAACGCTGGAAATCGCATTTCTGAAAGTCTTTATTTCAAAATTTCTCAGGGGAGAATACCATCGGACCCCCTAATTATTCCCGCCTTCGCGCGGTCGTTAATCAGCTCCCCATTTCCAATTAGTTCTCTGCAGTTCCTGAACCGTGCGATAAACTAGCATCTTGTCCAGTGGGGTTGACAATTCTACTAGGTGCTTCATGCGGCAGAAAACGGGTCAAGCGTCTGCGTTGTTTAATTCAGCTCAGTTCTTTTCACTGCATTTTCTCTCAATAGTTTCACTAATGCTAAGTTACAGACTTTATAGATTGTTGTTTACAGTAAACGATTGATTTCATATTAAAGTTTGAGTATGACAGCCAAGTGAACTATTTGGTTCTCTAGTTAGCCACCATAACACCAATTACGTTTAAAATATATACAGGCGAGGAACCGTAGATAGCATGAGTGCGCCTTATCAGTTTAGGGCCAGTTTGTTATTGATATGTGAGAGTGTGTTGGGCTAAGGAAGTACAGCATTTAAGCTGAGTACATGGAAACCATATATAACTGTAGTATTGTGGAGCATAACACTAAATAATAAACATAATGATAATAATAATGATGATGAAAATATAATAATAAAAATTATTATTATTATCAATAATATTTTTAATATTATCAGTTATTATTATCATCAGTAATAATGATAATAATAATAATTATTATTATTTTTATTATTATCAGACAATTATAATAATGATAATAAAATAGTAATTAATAACAATAGTTATAATACTGATAATAATAACAACTCATAATATTAATGATGGTTGTTTCAGTTCACTTACCATACAAACAAAAATAAAAATCTAATATAACTAATAACAATAATTTATTTCAATATTATTTATATAAATATTAACAAATGTTGGATATTAAAAAAATGCTTAATAAGACTTCTGAATCTGCGTAAAACAAGGGCTTGTGTCCACCCAACATGAGATATCTTTCAATCCTTAAATGCTTTACAAGGTAGTTTCATCTTTTAATTTTGAGGATTATAAAATCCTAAAGTGTGACCATCTGACGAAAGCTACTGAGCAGTACTTTCCTGTGGTACTGTTTATTATGCTGTTTAAGGTGGTTTTAACTTTTGAGTCTGTGGATCGGAAATCCCAAAGTGTGGCCATTTAGATGAAAGCTACTGAGCAGTACTGTCCCTTGGTACTGTTCATTATGCTGTACAAGGTAGCTCTAACTTTTGAGCCTGTGGCTGAAATCCTAAGGTGTGGCCTTTCAAATGAAAACTACTACGCAGTACTTTCCTGTGGTACTGTATATTATGCTGTACGAGGTAGTTCTAACTTTTGAGTCTGTGGATAAAATCCTAGAGTGTGACCA